TAATAGTTCATGAATTTTGAATTTTCTAGAAAAATGTTTAATTCAGTATTTATTCTTTAAATTGTCATATTTCTTTGCATTCTAGTATACCCATGAACATGAGTAGTAAACCGAAGAAATCCGAAACTTATCACTTCAGTGAAAAATGGGAACTTAATTACTTTTTTACAGTGTTAAATGATAAATGTTATTGTTTAATATATCTAATATGGAAGACATTTTTTAACTTTACATAACAAGTATCAAACAGATTATCCACCAAATTTTGAACTGAGTAAACATAAAGTTAAGAATCTAAAAACTCAATTAACAAATCAACAAAGCATTTTTAAAAAATCAAGGGTGAAGTCACAAGCAGTAACTATTGCACCATTCAAAAAGCTATCTCTTAACAAAAAATTGTAAACCATTTTCCAAAGGTGAATTTGTAAAGGAAATTTTTTTAGAAAAGTCAGATTCACTTTTTAATGATTTTAAGAACAAGAGTGAAATTGTTGCTGCAATTCAAGATCTACAATTGCCTCGAAACACAGTGATGTATGCAATTGAAAGGATGAGTGAAAATGAAAAAGAACAGTTATATAATGACATTAATAGATCTTCTTGTTTTTCCCTTCAGTATGATGAATTGACCGATATTAGTGATACAGCACAATTACTTGTTTTCGTTCGTATGGTTTTTAAGGATTTTACATCTAAAAAAGATTTGTTGGGTATGATTTCTTTGAAGGAAAGGAAGGACTAGATGTGTAGACATATTGAAAGCCTTTAAAAACTTACTCAATGATTTGAAATAACCACTTTTTAAATTAGTCTCAATAACAACGAATGGCGCAGCTGTAGTGATAGGTAGCATAAATGGATTTACAGCCCTATGTCAAAAGGAAGATGAATTCTCTGCCTTTTTAAGCTATCACTGCATAATTCACCAACAAGTGTTAGCTAGCAAGAGAATAAACACAAAAGAGGTAATGGATTACCATTTGAAATTGTTAATTCAATTCAAGGAAGTTCCCTCAAATGGCATCTCTTCCAACTGCAGCTCAATGAAGGCCAACCTGAATTATTACTGCATACCGATGTGAGATGACTAAGCAGAGGTAAATTTTTGCAGTGAGTTTGTAATTTATTGCCTGAAAGTATAGATTTTCTTCACAAACAAGATGGAAACTGAGAAAATTAAAATGATTAAACTTGGCTTATTAACTTAGCATTTCTTATTGATTTTACTTCAAAATTAAGTCATATAAATTTAGAATTACAATAGAAAAATAAAATAGTAATCAGCTGCATAGACACATATGAAACAAAATTTATTTTGCTAATAGAAGATCTGCAACAAAATAGTCTGAATCATTTTCCAAATATGGTGAATAACCTACAAAAACATAAAAATATTAACTATTAGATCGACAAATATGTCACGGAAATCCAAAAGGTAATTAAAGATTTTGAGATAAGATTCCAGGATTTAGAAAAAATTAAAGAAATTGTCGAATTCATATCATTTTCTTTTAAAACAGATTTAAGTATGAAATGCATTATCCAAAAAAATTCAGACATATTTCATATGGATCAAAAGGCATTAGGAAGTGAAATTACAATTTTATAAACTGACTTAATCTTACAAGCCTGAAAATTTGAAAATCTTTGGAAATATGTCAACCGAGATCTTTGTCAGGGTTTACACATAATTATGATTCCTTGGGTAGGGACATGCAAACTCAGTCTTCCCATTGATGTTAAGGCAACAAAGTAAATTCTAAATCTGTCTTTATCTGTAGCTACTTTGAATTAATAATATTGTTAATAATTATCCATTTTCTTTTTTTTTCCTTTGAAATGAGTTTTTGAGATCTTTAAATAATTATTGTTGTTGATTTTTATGTAGGTAGATAAACCTTATATCTATATTTCAGTATGAGGTATGCTCAGCAAGCTATTGATAGATTAGCAAAAAGTAAGCTATGTTATTCTTTCAGGATAAATTTTCCTGGCCTAAAAAAAATGTGAAAGTGAAATATTGAAATCAGATTATCAGCCATACTGTGCATTTTGATTAAAAACTTTTTCATATTGACAAACAAAAAGTTCAACTTATACATGGCAATAGATAAAAAGATTAAATTGCTTTTTAAGTTAGTAAAAATCTATCTTGAAAAAGTGTAGGAAAATCGAATTTTTTAGGTACCGCATGTACGGAATTGCTGCTATTAAAATTTGGGTCTGGAAATTAATTTTCTTAATGAGCCTATATCTCGAAAACTTAGTGATTTAAAAAATAAGAAAAATATTTTGGATATATATTTTACTTACCTACCCTTTCCCCTTAGACTACACCTATGGCAACAGTCGATCGCGACACACTTTTAAGATAAAAAGTAGATCTTATATACAAAAAAGTTGGCCACCCCTGAGATAGGTGATAAAATGTCTTATAACTAAAGGTGTTTCTAATGTTAGAATGCTACCTAATTGGATGCTGGTGATAGTATAAGCTTACAAAGCAGTTTTAGTTATCATGTAAAATAAACAGTATTAACAAGTGTATGGTACCTGCATGGGTAGGATATTGTTGTGTATATTGAAAAATGTGAATTTAAACCAGAGGTGTGGATAGTCAGAAAATATTAGAAAAACTACTAAAAAAATGTTTACCAGCATTAAATGAAACTTGTTGAATTAGTGAAGCTTATATTGACTATATAGTGATTTATGATTTCCAGCATAGATTTTCTTATTAAATTTTATTTGATTTGAATTCTCTTAATCTACTGTACACATTTGTAGAACGTTTTATGTAGATTCAAATATTGCTTACTCAGTTAGTATATTGCTAAGTTTATTTGCATCGGGTGTACCCAACAGAATCAGTACTGAGTTCCGGTGGTTGATGAAATTTTAAATGGAGACAGTGATATCAAGGGGTTATATGAGGGTCAATAGCCGAATATACACCGACAAATAATCGGTACAATCAAGATCCTATTAATTACAAAATAAAAGTTTTAATTGATTATTTATTGGTATAAATTTTGGTTATCTTATGTTTTTTTTTCATTCAAAAATTGAGTTGTTTATATTAGCACTGAATAGAAAAGAATTCCATTGCTTTGATAACCTAATAAGATTGTCCATTACTGTAAAGGATTGTATTTCTCGGAAGATATATTGTTATATACAAGTCACTTGGAGAATTTAGAAGAAGGTTTTAATGTTTGCTTTCAAGATGTTGAAAATTTGAATGTGATATTATAGCTCATAGATCCACTGAATTGGGAGATATCTGATCTTGATATTATGGTGCAGGGTTTTATTGCTTTGGAAGGAGCATGCCTAAGCACAAGTCCTATTCAAAATGCCTGTGTATTTACAAGTACACAGGAATAAGATAAGACATGTACATGTCTTATTCAAAACACACATTGCAAAGTTTTGGAATTTAAAAGTCATTCAAGAAAAATATCTTCCAAAATATTTATTACTGGTTCCAGCATTATTGATCCTTTACATGTGGAAGCAGACTTTAGTTAAGTCAATAACTTGCTATCAAAAACAAGAAGCAGGTTGAATATTTTTGAATAAAGTGATTTAAGAATTAAATTAAGCAATCTTATAACAAATATGAAACAATTTGCATCAATGCATCAAGCAAACTCATCACATTTATTAAAATGAAACTTCTGTGCAATTAAAATCAGTGATTTCATATCTGAAAAATTGTTCATATTTGTAAAATTAAAAATAATTATATAAAAAATAATGTAATACAAATTTAATAAACTTTTTTTTTATCAAAACTTTTGTTACTGTTCTTAGTCTAATTGCTTTTTTTTTTTTTTTTAATGTGTGCTTATTTGTGTTATGATTGTGTTGCATGCTGTGTACAGAGAAAAGTGCAAGTCAGGTCGATGAAGAAAGCCCTTCTTTTGAAATGGGTCGATGCAAAAAAAGAGTTGGGCATCTCTGATCTGCACAAAAGAATGTACATTATTAATTAATATAATAATAAAGATTTTCTTCCCTACCTAAGATATTGTAAATGTAAAATTGTTCAGAAAAGAGTGAAATTAGCTCCCCCACAAAAAATTGAAATATATAATTAAATATTAATATATTTTACATTTGAATCATATTATAAATTGTTCAGTGACCTGAATAGTGCATTATAAAATGACTTTAAGCCAATTTGCATTTTTTTTTTTTTTAAATGGATTATTGTGCAATGCGAAAAACTTACCTGAAACTCCCAGTTTTTCATATTTAAAGGTTGACAGCTAAGGGCATATCATGCCAATTTGTATTCTTTGTTTGTATTTATTAGAAAATAGGTTCTTGTTAAATAGGTTCCCAAAGGGCGTTAGCTCAGAAGGGCTGTTAATTTCGTTTTGGCATTTTGCGTTGAAAACTTTAAATGTCGGTTCACTTTTCAAATTGTTGCCACTAAATATTATTGTCCAGTGTTATATTTAAAGAAATTAAGTAATGAAGAATCTTCATAAATGTATGTATGTTTCTCGCATTGTGATAGAACAGCGGTACCTAGAGCCATCCAATTTTGAATAATGTAATCTTCCACCAAGTATGGGCATCTGGAAACCCTAATTTGGAATTTGAAATTTGTTTTATTATTGATTTTATATTTTATAATACTTCAACTAATTTTTGATTGATAGCTCAGTGATTTCAGAGTGCACAACGGCAAAATTGTACGGAAAAAAGAACTCTTTTATCCCCAGTGCACGAGACTGTGTATCAGAAATTCTAAAGATATGCTCATTTTAAAATTATTTTGTGATATTGCTGTTGAATTGAATTTTATGGTTTAGTGCAAAGAACATGATATTTAATAAAGATAACACTCAAAAGGTTGAAAAAAGTCCCTTTGCGCGTAATGTAAAATCTGAAAACTTCAGATTTCTCCCCCCCTTTTTTTTTCCTTTTTTTTATATTTATTACTTTTTTTTTAATTTTAGATTCATTAGAATTAATAATTATAGGTATGAAGAAGCTAGGCAACTTGAAAATGACATATTCAATGCTGTCGAGAGCAAAAATTTTCATTTGGCTAAAGATTTATTTATTGAAGCTCAAGAAGAATTTGATGCACAAATTAGTTCCAATTTCATATTGAGGTAACTATCTTATTTGTACATTTTTATAAGCTTCACTATATTTTATATTAAAGGATGAAATAGTGCATTTTTATTTCCCATTTTTCTTTAGCTGTGTATTTCTCATTTTTTAGGGCAGCATCTATGCCAGTTTTCCTGAAAAGATATACGTCATTCCATGTATATATTCGTTGCATGACACAAGGTGTAGAAATTCTTCAAAGATTAAGACTGTATAATGAAGCCGTGATATTGCTGAAAAGACTATTGAAGCAAAAAGTATACATTTTAATTACATAATGTTTTTTCTAGAAATATTTCATGTCAGAGCTTTTTTTGAAGTGGAATACTTTTTCAGACTTTCTGACTTGCCTTACATTTTTTATAAATTTGATTAACACCATGATTTTTTTTCATTTATCAAAATTATTTATTTAATCTCAGTATGCATTAAATTCTTTCTAATTACAAAATTTTGAAAAAATAAAGTATTATATTTAGGAAGATTTATTAATCCAAAATAAATTTTAAACTATGAAAACTTATTGTAAGTTTGTTACATGACTCTTCTCATGTTTTAAATTCGGTATTAGGCATGCAGGAAAATATTGCCATTTTGGATGGACAGGTAGAAAATGGTAGAAACAGAATTTTAATCAATTACATTAATGTCATTGCTATCCATAATGACTTGCCATCTTGAAATGCTCAGAACTTGTTTGTAGTCAGTCAGTGACAGTCCACACGCACTATGTATATTCCATTAACTAGAAAATATACTCATCATATCTTAAATAATATACTTAAAGTAAAAAATATGCAGGATGACTTTTACATTGATATTTACTTTAACGTTCTGTATAATTATACGGAGATTGATGAGAATTGATAAGCCCATGTTTGTATGCTGCTCTTAAAAGAATTAACAGTTCTAAAAGTAATGATAATAATTAAAATATCATGGCATGCTATTTCTGTTAAAATAATGAAGGGGCAACAAAATTGTTAAATTTTTTTTCTGTTGCTTTTATTTTCTTATATGCATTTAGTTTATTTACTCAATTCTTTTGCAGGTTTTTTGTCAAGATTATCGTGGCCGCTGGTGGGACCGTTTGGCATTAAATTTGGAGCAACATCTAAAAAAACGACAAGAAGTACTTTATTTGTTAAGCTTATTACAATTTTGCATGTAAAATATTTATATACAGCAACTTCACACTGGTACTTTGCATATCGAAAATAGTCATATTCAGTTCAGCATTTGTTGTGCAAATTATTCATTATGTGAGAAGCTCTTTCCTGGAAAACCTAAAACTGAACTATATTTGTCATCCACTTTGTCTATTTATCTTGCTGCCTCATATTCCCATCCAAGAATGGAATGCAGGTCTTTAGTATTACTAATATAATAATAAGAAATATGTATTTACCTGGCCTTTACCTTTTTTTTCTCTTTTAGTACCTGGGGTGTTATTGGTCTTAATCTTCAGTCTTTGTTTGTATCAGTTTTGCGTCCATATCACTTTACGAATTGTTGTGACCAGATGTTTTTGCCAAGCATTATTTAAAAAAAAAATAATATCATGAATATAAAACAGTGTATTTCAACGCAATTAAGAGGATGTTGCCACTAAATGTTATCACCGTGTATTATTTTTTAAGAAATAATATAAAGGATATAAAAATATGTGGCGACATTTAACACTTTGTACAGAATTCTAAAGAAATGCAGCCTAGGTGGCTGCGTCTGTTGCATATGCTTGGGACCAGCTCTTACTGCAGTTGTTTGCCTTTTATTAAGCTTTTGATATAAATTCTGTAGCAAAAAAAATATGTGCACCCAGAAAAAGGAGAGATCATGGTGAAATTAATTGAAGAAAATGGGGTGAATTATAACGAAAAGATGAGAACAGTTGAAGAATCCATATCATTTATTGCAGCAAGAATGATCCAGAACTGTTACAGATTAAAATAGTATAGGACTGGTAATTATGCAGCCAAGTCATAAATGTTTTGCCTTGGCTGGAATCGACGGTTGACCATATCCCAAAGGTATTTAATAGAGGAGAGGTCAGGTGATCCAAGACAAATATATCATTATGTGAAAAATAGCTCCCTGGCAAGAAGTAGCAATAATATAGAAAAACAGCTTCCTCTTTTGTATCCTGCTTCTTCTATCTATGTATTTTTTGTGGTTTTTGTATTTCATGCTTCTTTAATTCTTCTGTCTTTTGGTTAATTTTACATATTTATAGGGAATTCTGAAATTTTACTGGTTAAGAATTTCACTTCTTTTGGGTCTTTGTGGATTTGGTTCTAAATTTTACTTTTTGTTTATATATATATGTGTATGTATGTATGTAAATCAGGTTAATTTTATATTAGAAACTTCTGTAGAAGAGTCTTTCCAGTTTTCAGACAGTTTATATTATGTTATGTTGCACTGCCTGGCAGTTATTATCCCTCTTGCACACATATGCAACAAACTGGGCCATTATCAAAGCTGTTTTCCAAATATAATTATAGCTACATTAACAAACAAAGCCATATTCCAAGCAATAAATACACCTTTTTAATAATTTATAGGGCAATTTTTAATTTTTAGGAACATTTGCATCAGTGCTGTAATTAGTAAGCGTATCTGTGCTGTATGTTATGTAGCTTCGACAGATTAGTCATTTAATTGCATTTCTGGCAGCATTGTATAATTTGGACAGTGGCATAGCAACTACAAAATTCAGTCGCAGTCATCAATGTTTTTTTTTTTTTTTTAGTCATATATTCATTTGCATGTAATTTTTTTAAATGAAATACATGTTCATTTTCAGTAGTTATATCTAATGTTTCCGAAATGTAGCATTAAATTGATTTCTTGTCTATAATAAAGATTTTAAAGAAAGAAAATTAATGTTGTAAATACTTGAGTAGGATATAATCTATTTTATAATGATTTAACATGTCGCTTAAACATTTTAATACATTAAATATTTTTGTTGTTAAAAATCGGGTTTTACTCACTAATGTTTAAATTTTTATCTCTTTTTCTACCCTTCTTAAATTTGTAGGCAATTGAAGCAATTAAAGAAGGATTGCAAGATAAAAATGTCAGAGTTGGACATCGTTATTCTCTGCTGACAAGAGCTTTAAGAATACTAAAATCCACAAATGAAAATGATGAATTCAAAAAAGAAATTTTAAAGGCTGCAGATGTAATTGATGCACCAAAGGTATACATTCTGCAACTAATAAAAGTTTTTATGTTTTCAGTATTAGTATTTCAAACATGCATTGAAAGAAGCTTTAACAGCAAAAATATTTTGAATTGATATACCTGAGTAGTTTTATATCTTTTTTATGAGAAATTTTAAGTTGTATTTGTTGTTACATGTTATTCATGTTTATTCTGTGTTTGTTAAACTTTAATTGCATTGTTATGAAGAAAACATGTTACTGGCCTAAAATTAAGCAAAAAAGCAACCTTATTATGCTGTAGATTTTGAATAAAACAACCTTATTATTCTGTAGATTTTGAAGCAAAATAGCAACCTTATTATGCTGTAGATTTTGATTAAAACTCTATAGATTTTGAGAGCGATTAGACACAGGTCCATCTTCTTCAGGAGAAGAAAAAAATCTAGATATTGAAATGAGTAATCATATTTGTATTGAAACAATGGCAAACATAAATGCTGTGCCATTTGTTAAGGAAAACAATAGTGAAGCTTGGAGATCTTAAGAGCTCTAAAAGCATTAGGAAGGATTGGACTAAAATGAATATGATTAACTAAAGAAATAAACTTGTGAATGTGAAAAATTTCAAGAAAATCTAATTCACCAACTGAAAAAGGCTTATATGTAATTTTTGTAGAACCAAAGTCGAAATTGTGATTACGTTTATTGATTATCAAAGATTGGTGTATTTCTTCTTTCTTGACAGAAGATTTGTGTTCCTTAATGTGAAATTTTAATACTTTTTTTAGTTTGGCCACTATACCTCAAACCACACAGACAAGATATGTTATAAATTTCTCTAGAGTTGAAGTCAAAGAGGGAATCTCTAAAAGCTGGACAATGAATTTTATTCATTGATGGGAAAATGATCTAAAAGTTGAAATATTTGGTTGAACATTTGGAGAATCTGTGTGATTTTATAACTAATAAAAGGAGGAAATGGAATAGTAATAATGTTATTGATGTTATTTCTAACAATAAAATGCCTTTGACGGCAAGATGGAAATTTTTTGAAGGCTTTATTGATGACCATGGGAGAGAATTCTCTGTCAGTGGCAAATAATTGAGTTTGTAGAGAATCGTATGTTAATTAAGCAGATATTTATAATTTCAGTCTTCACTATAACTTATCCTTTCCATATTCCTCTCCAGACTGCAAATTAGTACTGATTATTTAAACTGAGGTTTTTGGATTTAAAAGGGAAAATGTTTGTGGCATTGTGTGCACTCTAAATGTTAGCTTCCTACCAACTTTAATAGTTGTAATCATTTGGCTCTGCTACCTCTCGCTACTGACACTTTAATTCTAACACTCTGATAGAGTTAGTGAAGCAACTGCTAGTATAATATTTAATTGCATAGCCCTTAACTACTGTTCAACTTTTAAGTTGAATTGATGTATTTTATTTATTTTGCATCACCATGATTTGTAGTCATTGTAGCACTAGTTCATGAATTTCTGTTCTAAATTCTGTGTAAATAAAAAGGTTATTTTAACCCTGTCAAGACTTTGCCATGTTTTCAGATATGATGATAATTTGCCTTATATCTGTTAGAAATATAAGATTAAAAGAGCATTACTAGATCAAATAAAAACATCTAAGTGGTACTTGAACAAATTACAAATCATGTTGAAGAAACCAGTAATGATTAATACCACCCCCAAGATTACAGGCTTCAAGAAGTTGTATGGAAAGCTTCAGGTTCATTGTAGACACAATGCAAACATTGATGAAACCAGCAAGTATTTCCAATGGTAGCAGTTTGGTTGTAGCTTTTTTTTGGAACAATTAGAGATGCACTTTCTACTTTACCTAGTTGCAGAATTACAAAGGGTCACCATAGCACCCACTATACACTGAGGATAGGCAGTGAACTAATACAAAGGCATTGGTAAATTTTTATTGAGTGAACAGGGCAATGAAAGTTTTAGTTCCGTGTATTTAAAATCACCTTTGTGAAAACATTCCTTGTGGTGAAAGATAGGGGAAACTAGAAAAGTAAAAGTAGATATCAAACTAAGGCTAAGAGTTGACTTATTTTATATTGAGGAAACTACAAGTTATGAACTTAACGTGTGGAAAAAAAAATCTGATGCAGAGATTATCAAAACAGTATTGTTTGTGTTGTTCTTCCGATTCAGGATTGTGTTGAATTACTTCACTGCTAGCTCAAACAACTAGGCCAGTTATTTCAGCTAGCAGTGAAGTTTAAAAATAGGCACATGTCAGTGAATACATGCACAGTGGGATATGAACAGAGGTCAAGTGGATATTGTCTTCGATCTGTAGCAGAAGGAAACCCAAAGTTTGATGGCAGGAGATCTTTTGATTGCCAGAAGAAAGTTTCACCTACTAATGGCAATTGCTAAAATAAAATTCAAAACAGAAAACTGGGAGACGATATCAACCATTTAAACTAGTCTTGTACTGAAATACAGAGAATACAGTTACCATGGAGAGGAAAAAATTCCTCTCAGATTCAATTAAATGCAGTGCTGATAAAGAATTTATCATTCTCATTGATTCAAATTTGATTAAATAATGTATTAGCTGATACATTATAAAATGTAGGGGCACAACCAAAAATATTTGACCCAAAATGTTTTAGGAAAAATTTGGAGTAGTATAGAGTTTTGGTGTCGCAGAAACAAGAATGATCGTCGCTCAAGGCAAACAGCGTGAATGCAAAGGAAAGATAATGTGCAGGTGAAAATATGAACACCAGAAGGTGATTTTCTTTGCAGTGGAAAATCTACAGGCTAGAGTAATGTTGGGGATGAATTTCTTAAAGGCTGCAGGAGTGAAAATTGTTTTTATGAAGCTATTGTCAGTTGGAAATGAATGAACTGATGGAAAAAGAAGTCCAACTGGTGGCTTTGGACTTGAAAAAAATGGAAAGTGGATGAGAGAGCCAAGCTGGAGCAGTTGGTTAGAAAAGTTTTCAGATTTATTTGATGAGGCCGCAAGACTGACTTGGGTAGTAAATCACAGAATAGAAATTGGAAATTAACCCCTTCCCTGCCGAGCAAAGCCATACTGCTGTGATAAGGTCAAGGAAGCGATAGTAAAACATATTATAGAAATACTAAGGAATAAAATTATAATTCCTATATTTAGCCTTTATGCTAGCCCTGTAGTATTATGTAGAAAAATTAATTTCCCACATACTGATTTAAAAGCGTGACTGCTTTTAAAGCTATTAACTGTAGGAAATTAAATAGCATAACAAAATATCCAGTTTACTTCTTGCTAATAACTGAGGAAATCATTCAGAAAATCAATAGACCTTCTGGACATCTGGATGCTTTCATATATGTGTGAAACCAAAAAATGCCAAAAAATTGCATTTATTACCAAATTGGATGTTTAGACTTTTCTTAGAATGCTGTTTGGCATATGCAGAGCATCTGCCACATTTTAAAGAGCCTTGGATATTACGCTAAGACCTGTCCTCAGAAAATCTATGTTTATTTACTTAGATGATGTAATAGTTACTAGCAAGACAACTAACGCACATATTCAGGGTATATATGAAGTGTCTTCACTTCTAAAAAAAATTTTTTTTTAAAGGTGAATGCAGCCAAGTATAAAGTGCTCCTAGTATAGGATTTTCATCGAAGATTTTCCTCATCAGGAACAGTAAACAGTGATTTAACATTGAAAGAAATCATAATTGAATGCTGGGGAGAAATATCTTTTATTATTAAATTTACTGATGACTTCAAAAGAACATGTCACTAAGTAAATGTTGTTAGAAAGTAAAAGGAAAAATCTGGATACGTATTTGGCTTAAGGCTATGATGCTGTTCCCAAAATAGAAATGATAAGACTGAAAGGAATTCCAATTTTGTGAACTTTGGGAAGATAGATGGGGAGAAGTTGAATGATTTTTAGGTATCAAACAGTATGGGCCTTTATTTATCATTTTCACGACTTCATCAAGGTATGTGTTTTTGCCCATAACAAAACTCTATTCACTTTTATCAGCTTTGGAAATAATAATGAATTTCATGTAAGGTCTTTTTCCTTTTTAGTTTATATTCAAAATTTATTATTTATTATTAAAGTCAATGTTATGAGTAATTAAGTGACAGATTTTTATATATATATATATATATATATATATATATATATATACTTAAGAAATTTTCAGTTTCACTTGTCAGTTCTTAAATGCATAGTTTTAAAAATCGTGAATAGAAGATTTGAGATTGCATTTAACTTGTAGTATAAATTTGGAAATAATATTCTGTTTTTTGCCTTTAAGCCAAAAAAACAAAGGGAGATAGTTAAAAAATGTGGTACATTTGAAGTGTAACTTGGAAAACCAGTTGTTGTCTGATTGTATATTAAACCAATGGGAAAAGCACAAAAAATCTAAACTGTAAAAGCAAAAATATGAGGGGAAAGTGCAAAATAAGAAATTTTGGGAACAGCAATAAGAAAAGTGTTTAATATGCTAGAAACTAAAGAATGCATTGAAAAACAAAAGAGAGCTCATAATACAGTAAAACAGTAGAAAATTGTCAAAGAATTATGAGAAAATATCACACAAGAATAAAATTACCAAAAATCAAAGAAGAATGCAAATTTCAAAGAAAAACTTATCAGTTTCCAGGAAAAATACAAAATTAACACAAAATGGCAATCCAAAAAGTAAAATGACACAAAGAGGTAAATAAACAAAACTGAAAGAAATTTTTTAAAAATGATGGTATCAAAAGCTTAAAGGAGAGAAATAACATGCCAAAGTAAAATTAGACAAACCATTATCTGATTTTGGTTTAAATTTCGAATAAAACATTATCATTTTCAAAGGTGACAGAAATCCTTCTTCTGGAAGCCCCTTCCTCCCCCCCCCAAAAAAACTGCAAAATGGAACAAGTAGCATGTTTCTGTTTAAATTTCATGTTCTTGACATTTTGACTTTTTTCTTTCATATGTGTGTATGTAATGGTCTCTAAAAAAATGTTTAAAATTATTTAAATGCATAACTTTGTACATTTATACTTAAAATTTTATTCTTCTTCTAAGGAGAAGGGATTTTCTTTGTTGTTTTTGTGGTGCTATTAAGTGTGTGTTTATTGCACTAATTTTCTATAATTCATATTTTTTAAAGTCAAATGCATTTGTTATTTGAAAATATTTTTAAAAAAGAAAAACTTTACTACAGGTAACTATCAGAGGCCGCCTTTTCCCTAAAACTATAATCGGCCGTAGGCATGTTTTCATCTCTTCATCAGCTACTGCTGAAGATAATGATGACATTACAGTCTTAGGTGTTGAAGCACTAGCTATTGAACATTACAAAAGTCAAGGGTTTACTGAAGGTAAATGGCTGTTCTGCTGAACTTTCCCATTTTTCTATAATGCTGTGATGAAAAATAACATGTAAACTAATAATAAATGTTTTTAATTTCATTCAAATGCACTTAACAGTAATATTTTATAACTTTGCTTGTTTAGACTTAAGAGTTCAAGAAAGAAAATAATTAAAATTAAATCAATTAAATCATCAGTTTTTGTGCAAGGGGCATTCAGAAAATTTAAAGCCTAGCATATTTATAAAATGGAAATATCCAGAGTAATTTATTCAAATTAGAAAGAGAATGCTGATGTAAATTTTGAATAAAACTCTGTCAATTTCAAAGGCAATCAGACACATCTCTCTTCTTCAGGTGAGAGAGGGAAGACACTAATTCCTATGCAGCTTTTCCTAATACCCAGAATTCTAATGTCTTTGTTTTTCACATTCCATTACTGTCTTCTTTGACAGATGGTGCTGTGTTCATTTTCACTCTTTTCTGCCCATTGCTTTCAGTATAAAATGGTTGTTGCTTCTTCCATTTTTGCTTCTAAAAAAGACAAGCCTGCATTTGATCTTCAAATTCATAGGTAATTTTAGGTACTCATGGATAGTTTTAATCAAAATGTTTGGCTAACTAAGTTTGCTTTTTTGCCTAATTTTAAATATTTTACTCAATTTTCTATGCATTGTCTCCTGATTTCAAAACACTTCAGTCAATTTGTCATGGGGGGGAAAAAAGAAAAGAAAAAGTATCTTCTCTGTTGTGTTTCTCACTGTAGCAAGAAACAGTTTTGTTTCAGTGTTTGAAGCAAAGTGAAAAAATAAAAGAAGGTATTCTGAGACCTGATGTGTATGGTATTTGACAAAGAAGCTGAATAGAGCATAAATATGAGCATATATATGAAGCCAGAGCTTTCTGTACAAGTGCATAGTCATACAAAAGTAGCACTTTCCAACTGAGTTTACTGTGGTATTTTTTCTTGATGATCTGTCAAAAACATAATCCCTCTTTATCTTCATATGTGGTGAAAATCCTCCTAGTAGGCTTCTGTGTTTTGAACTGGCAAAGTAAGGTAGGTGCTTCTGTGTTCTATTATTTCAATCTAAGGTCACAATGAGGAATCATTTTCACATTTATTGTCTGTAGCTATGAATAAATATCTCTTCATTAGCAATTATCACAGATGACAGTTCTCTAGAACAGTCTAGTTTTTCTTTATTTTTAACATCAGCGTTGAATAAAAATGTGAATAAAAATATCTTTATTAACATTTATCACAAGAAGCATTTCTATGGGACAATCTAGTTTATATTTATTTTTAACTTCAACATTTGAAGTCCCACTTTCATCATACACAACCTTTCATGTGAGATTTTTTTCACTGAAACAACACTGATACAATAAACATTGCAATCCAAGAAACAAACTGAATTTTTTGCCTCATATTTTTATACATTTAATGTATCACATTTATATACATTTCATGAGTGGTCATATCTGTGTTATAACTTTGTGTAGAGTCATCTTCTAGTGATTGTTTCCTTTGTCTAAATATGGCAGCCCACCTGTTGATAGTTGGCACATATATTTGTTCATGAATATTAGCATATATAATTCATAAATATAGCACATGAGCTTTTGCTGGTATTATATCTTCTTTCATCAAGAACACAGTTGTCAAACAATGTTTGTTTTTTATATTCATAGGCATTACTAATTATCAACTTTTCACAGTCTCATAGTAGCTGGTATCTACCACTGCTTTTTGCATTCATTTTTATTCTTTGGAAGAATGAGGCACTTGTTTCCTTGAATTTTAGAATCCTTCTGGTTACCATCCACATCATAATTAGTTATTGAATGTCTTCTTATTTTACTAATTTAATTTATTTACTTTCTTTGGAATTTCTCTCATGTTTTATTAATTTATTAGTTATTTGCATGTTACCTACTTTTTGTTATCATTTTCTCTCTTTTCTAATAGATCCTTCTGTATTCCACATATAGTCTGGAGGCATTCCTCTGCAACATTATCGTTATTATGCTGAATCCTTTTTTTTTTTTTTTTTTTTTTTTTTTTCCCCCTTTGAGAGCAGATATTTTCTTGAAAATGGCTGGAACAAGGTGATGCAAATAATGCTATACAATGCTGTGCAACTGTAAAAAGACTTTACAGAACCATCAAGAGCTGATGCCTGAGAAAATAACTCTATGACATTGCTAAATCTCGTGTGATGTTCATAACAATAAACATCCTCCAGTGTTTACAACAGGTCCTTATGTACAGAAGGATCTATTAGTAAAGAGAGAAAATGATAATGAAAGGTAGATAAAATGCAAATAACTAATAAATTAATAAAGCATGAAAGAAATTCCAAAGAAAGTAAATAAATTAAATTAAATTAGTAAAATAAGAAGACATTCAGATAGAATTTTTTTTTTTTTCGTTTTACATTCTCATTTCTGGGATTTTGAGATAAATTTCATCTTTAATACATGGATTTTAATAAGAGGACTGTGCTGTGATGAAAGAATGGTTTTATGACTCTAGTCTGCCAACTTCTTTGTAGAAAGTGTACAAAAATGAACTGCTTTGGAATAAGTAGGTGTTTTTGTGGAGGAGCAGGCATATGGCCACGGCAGGAAGTGTTGCTGTTGTCAAACTACTTATGTTCTATCATTTACATTGTGATTTATGTTTCATTTAAACAATCTTACTTTTTATTTTTTTCATCTAACAATCTGCAGTTTACTTTCTCCCCGCTTTAGAAGGACATTTGACAGGCTTTAATATAGCACATCAGATTATTAAAACTTTAAAAGAAAATGCAGGCCCTCTGGATAATTGCTTAGCACTTGGCGCCGATAATGCACCAGTAGGCTTGAAGGCTGGTCTTGCAGGCATCTTAAGAAAGGAAAATTCAGATTTTCAGATTATGAGATGCACCTGTCAGTTCTTAAATTTTGCAGCTGAAAAAGTTGCAGCTTCTTTACCAATAAATGTAGATGAACACATTGTTGATATTTATTATTATCTTGAAAGGAGTTCTAAAAGGAAGGAAAAATTGAAACAGTTCCAACAGCTGCATAACAGAGTACGCCAACATGGCGGATTGTGATGGTGACGAGTTCTATGCAGCTCTGGACAATGAGCTTCAAAAGGTGGAATCGGCCATCGTATCGAAATGCAATATGAATCCGCAGATTCGTGATGATGCGAAGAAGGCTTTGGGTGAGATTAAAAGTTTGATTACTAGGTATGTTGAGCATGTTAAATCTGTAAATTTTCGTGAAGCTTGTAAAGAAAGCTTATTGAATTCAGTCATGCAAACGAAATCGTATGTTAATACTGTCGCGCCATCTGTTGGGACAAATCAAACTGATTCAGATTGCTGTGTTTTGTGAGTGCCCGAAACTGTACATCTGATGAAGTTAAAAAACTCCTTAAGGCTGAAATCGATTCTCGGAAACATAAAATTGGAATTAGCAATATTCGAACAGTTCATAACAATAAAGTAATGGTGAAATGTGCTTCGGGATATGATAAAGAAAAACTGTTTACTGCTTTGCAGGAAGACTCATCTATTTTGAATCCCTCTATTCCAAGACGAAAATATCCTACAGTTTTACTTAAAAATGTGCCAAACAGCATTAGTAATGATGAACTGTTAAAAATTATTGAAGAACAAAATCCTGAAATTACCGTGAGTGATGAGACTTGGAAAGACGTTAAAGTTCGCTTTACTTTAAAAAAGTTTCAACGTGAGAGAAGCGTGGTTATTGAGGTTCATCCTTCTGTGCGCAAGCGTATTTTAAATTCTGGGCGTATTAAAGTGATGTGGAATATGTGTAAAGCTGAAGATTTTGTTGTTTTAAATAGATGTTTTAAATGTTTAGGCTACCACAGAAGTCTTGATTGCAGAAATCCCTTGGCTTGTTATTGCTGCTCTGGTGAGCATAAGAGCTCAGAATGTGATAAAAAAGAAGTGCAAGTGTGTATTAATTGCATAAGATTTAATAAAAAGACGAAAAATGCAACTAAGAAAGTTGATGTAAATCATAAGCCATTTTCTGGAACTTGCCCCAGCCATACATTTATGATGAATCTTGCAGCTTCAAAAATTTATTATGGGTAAGTCCGACAATTTGTCTGTTTCTTTTGTACAAATAAATTTGCACAAATCAAAACTTGCTACTCAGCAACTTATTTTATATATGGAGGCAAATGACACTGATGTCGCACTGATTCAGGAGCCGCACTTTTATAAAGGTGTTCTTCCTGGCTTTCCAATAAAATATAAAGTTTACTATGATTCCGAAGCAGGAGTTGTCAAGTCTGCTGTTATTGTTCGCAACCAGAATTCTCCTTTTTTGGACTTAAATCATACAGTTTATAATACTGTTGTTCTAGATATAAAAATCAATGGATCTGACTTGACTATTTGTTCCGCTTATTTCGAGCCCCAAACTAATATTGACATAGAACTATTAAAAATTTCACAAATTTTAACGATGAAGAAACCATGCAATTTTTTATGTGGTATGGATTCGAATAGCAAATCAGCGATTTGGCATAGTCCTATTACTGATGCTAGGGGAACGAAACTTAGTGATTTTATTAGTGCGAATCATTTGTTTCTACTTAATGAAAATCGCGGACCTACTTTCTGTTCCACGCAAGGCTCGAGTTATATTGACCTTACGCTTTGTAGCTTAGGACTGCTGCCATACGTTCAAGGTTGGGATATCTCTGAGGAAGATTCTCTTTCTGACCATAAAATGATTATCTTTGAACTTGTTTTATGCCGTCCGATTATATCTTCTAATTTGTGTACTTTTAATTTAAAAAGAGCGAACTGGTTTTTATTTACTGAACTTTGTAAGAGAGAATTGTGTAACTTGAATATCCTTCTTAACAGTTGCTCTGATTGTATTGCATTAGAAAATGTTGTAAACAGACTTTCTACTTTCTACCGTTGTTTTAATTGTGCTTTACTTTCAATTCCGATGAAGAAAAAGTAAGAAGAATGGGGTCCCTTGGTGGTCTAAGGAAATTGATTGTTATAGAAAGCATGTAAATGCTGCTAGGCGTAGATTCCAAAGAGAAAGAAACTGTCTTCTTAAAAATATTTATAAAATTAAATATTTCGAATTGCGGCATAAGTACAAGGCTAAATTAGCTAATGCTAAGCTTGAGTCGTGGAGAAATTTTCTATCAACTATTACTGTTCACAATGTCTGGAAATCTATATATAAGTATGGGGTCAAGACCAATTTTGCGAAAAGGATTGAGATTTCGGGAATTAAACTCCCGGATGGCAGTGTTACTTCGAGTTTGAGTGATACAATTGTTGCTATAATGACAAAGAATTTCCCAAGAGATAATGCGCGTGATGATAGAAATTCTCATAGAACTATGCGCACTGAGTCCTGATGGACCTTATATTTCTTTTATGGACTGTCCTGTTCTCTACTTCAGAAGTTAACAGTGTTATTAAAAATCTCAAGAAGAACAAATCACCTGGGCTTGACTCTCTTTCTAATGAAATGATACAGCACTTTCATGCGGTGGATAGCACATTTCTACACAAACTTTTCAACCTTTGTTTACAATTAGCAGTTTTTCCAGCACAATGGAAGAGAGCTCGGGTTGTTTTGATTCCTAAAACGTTAGATACAAGAACCCCTTATCTTGATAAATATAGAGATGCATTAGTCTTTTGCCTACTTTGGGAAAATGTCTTGAAACTCTCTTCATTAACAGAATAAATTGGTATTTGAGACAAAAATGCTTTTATAATGATTCTCAGTTCGGATTTACTCCTCGGAAGTCCGCTGAAGACGCCATTATTCGCCTTTGTAATATCTTGCAGTGTGCAAAGAAAATGAAGTATACTACACTTCTTATTTTCCTGGATTTCAAAGGAGCTTTTGATAATGCTTGGTGGCCATCTATCTTAAAAATTTTAAAAGATGCTGGTATACCACATAATATCTATAACCTTCTTAAAAGCTTCTTGAACGAGAGGACTGCTGAGCTTCAGCTTGGGAACGAAGCTAAGGTTTATTCTCTAGAAAAAGGCTGTCCTCAAGGCTCTGTATCCGGACCTACTCTTTGGAACATAATCATAAATGATCTTTTAAGTCATCTCGACGGTTGTTTAAAAATTGCGTTTGCAGACGACTTACTATTAATTTTCCAAGGAAGGATTTTGAATAACATTCTTTTGAGAGCACAAGAAGTTCTAGATTTTGTCTCCAGTTGGGCGATTTCTCATAAACTCACTTTCAATCCTTCAAAAAGTAAAGTTATGCTTGTTCCCAGTACGTTTGATGAACAAAATATTGCTTCTTTGATGCTCGATAATTCTCCGTTGGAATTTGTAGAAAATGTTAAATATCTTGGTGTCATTCTTGACCAAAAATTAACATGGAAAAAGCACATTGAATTCCTTTCTGCTAAATGTGAAAAAATTATTAATGGCTTTCACCGAATTGCCAAAAATACTTTTGGAGTAAGCTACGATGTTAAGAAACTCATGTATAAGCAGTGTATTGTACCTTTCATTTCGTACGGCTGTCGTGCTTGGGAACATGTTCTTGCCAAGAAGGTTAACAAAAGAAATTTAAGAAAGATTCAACGGAGAATTCTTTTTTTTTCGTATTATTAGTGGTTATAGAACCTTAAGCTATGAGGCTACTTTTGTTCTTGCAGGAGTTCCGCCTATTGATTTTGAAATTGCATATAAGAATAATATTTTTGAGTCATTGGCAACTCATGCTTCGGAAGACTGTATTAATGGAATTGTCCCCTTCACTGATCTTCCTCATCCCGCTTCTTTAGAACCCATAAATTTCTGCGATTATAAAGAGACTGCTGAAATAAATTTTCATATGGTTTTCTTTACAGATGGCAGCAAGATGAACAACAAGGTTGGCCTTGCATTTGTTCTTTTTGAAGGCCATTCCGAGATTTATTTTCTTAAACACCGTATACGGAATGAATGTACAGTTTTTCAAGCAGAACTTCTGTGCATTTATCTTGCCGTCAAATGGATCCATTATCATGGGACAACATCCTCAAAGTACCTTATTTGTTCTGATTTTCTTTCTACTCTTCAACTTTTGAACAGTATTACCAGCTGCGATAAATTAGTTATCGAAACCCTAGTAACTGTTAGTTCACTTAGAATTAGAGGTATTGATATCTGCTTTGCTTATGTGCGTGCTCATCATGGTTTCTACGGAAATGAAAGAGCTGATTTCTTAGCTAAAGATGCCTTAAATTTACCCATTGATATCAACATTAGCATTCCAAAGAGTTATTGGAAGTCCTTTCATTATAAAAAGCTTTTAGCTATGTGGAATGAGGAATACATTTCATCTTGTAATGCGGAAGTCACCAAAAAGTTCCTTCCTTCTATTTACCATAGACTGAATTCCGAGTCTTTCCTCTCGTTAAATTTTAAAGTGTCTCAGTTTTTATCTGGTCACGGTAAATTTGCAAGTTATCTGTTTCGTTTTAATCTACGATCAAACAATTTATGTGAATGTTCAAAAAGAGTTCCTCAGGATGTGGAACATTTGATTTTCTCGTGCCCTACATTTGATGGCCCTAGATTATGCTTACAGAACGATTTGAAAATGTTCGGAGTGACTTGGCCAGTGAACTTATCTGTTTTCGTGAAGTCCAGACTGCTGTTCTCTGCTTTTGTTCGCTTTATTTATGCATGTAATTTTTAATGTTTATTTATACATGTAACCTTTAATGTTCTAGTTAACTTACTTCTGTAAGCCCCGTGTTGTACATATGTGGTGCACGGGGAGTCTGTATGTTCTCAAAGGGAAAAAAAAAAAAAAAAAAAACAGCTGCATAACAGCAGTTTACAATTAGAAAACTTGGATGAAGTTATAAAATCAACTAGGATTGACACCTAGTGGAGTTTAATTGGAAAACTGAAAGAATGAATGATGGAATTTTAAAATGTAGTGAACTGTCTAGAATTATGTTGGCCATCTTAACAGTTCCCCATAGTAATGCAGAGTGTGAGAGGATTTTCAGTGTTGTTACGAAACCGAGGACTAAATTTAGATCTAATGTTAGTGATCACACATTAGAAAAACTTATTAGTGAAAGCAGGCCTACGTGGCAATTGCTATGAACAAAATTATGAAGTTTCTTTCTTAAAGAAAGCAAAATCTGCCACTGTTTATAACATTTGTACAAAAACGGATTAAAGTGTCTTTTTTTTTTTTTTTTTTTTTTTTTTTTTTGTTCTCTTAAATGGTGCAAGTAATAAAAATGTTTTTTATGTGTAAGGTATTTTTATGTTGCTTGTATTTAAGAATTAGTTACTATTTAAAGTTAATTCATTATTAAAAACTATATTTTTATCATTTAAAAAGTCTTTTTAACATTGTGAAAAATCTGATTTCTTAAAAAAATCTTCTGATTTTTGAGTGTCATAGGTTGGCAAGCATGCATTAAAATTATGAGTACTATTAGGTTTTTAGGGCCGTAAAAAATCGCCAAACTATTGTTGATGCCAGAACTGCCAAAAATAATTGCGGCAACCCTAACGCAAGAAAGAAAGTATAATAGTAAATAACTATTTAAGATTGATGTTTTAATTTAGATGAAAGGGTTATTTCATATAATACTTTTTTATTATTATAATTTATATAAAAAAGGCTAAACATGACTGAATGGAAGGATAAGAGTAAATAACTATTTCAGATCATTATTATAATTTATATAAAAATTACTAAACATAACTGAATGGATGAATGCCTGCATCGCTATTTCGCTACCGAGTTATTGCTAAAGCATAGTTTCATCTTGTTGGTTGTTCAAACATAATTTTCTATAATGAATGATGCCTTTTCTTTGAAAAATTCTTGGTAAAGTGCAGAATCGCTCACTTATTTGTTTGCCGCTTTTTACAAGGATAAAAACAATTGGATTTTTGTCAATTTTCTTTTACATTTTAAGTAAAAATATGTCGATGTGTACACAAATAAAGTCAAGGGTGTGCGCAGTGCCATTTTTATGCAATTTTGGGAATTTTTTTTTTTTTTTTAAGTGAAAATAGATCGATGTGTACGTGGATACCGAGTATGTGCAATTCTTAAAAACGCATCAAGCAGTGGGTGATTCTGCACTTTAACCAAAATTCTATTGCAGACTTTTCGTCATGGGCAATTCCCAAATTGTTAAATCCATGGAATATCAAAAAAGAATTTAAAAATGAAACTAGTATTTCGATGGCGTCTTAAGAAACATAGAACTATATAAACGTACGCAATCTGAAATCAGCGCATACGCTAGATTTGGTGCGCTGCTAATTGGGCACCTTTGCTAGATTTGGCGCATTTTTGCTAACATTTTCCCTGCAATTTTTTATGGTCTTCAAAACGGAAAAATATCAAATTAGGTAATAATTTAATTACTTAATAAATTTAACTGTAATTTAGTTTTTCCTCAACATTTTATGTAATCTATCTCTTGTTTACTCACTTTAAGAACCTTACCTTTGCTTAATAAATGGTATTCTGCAGATTTTCTTAATTTTGTACTTCTTTTATTTTTTCCTGTTTAAATGATATGTGGTGATCTATGTAACAATACTTTTTCAACATGAAGAAGAGTACTTGTATGCCTGTCTCTTCCTTGAAATGCATAATTTAATTTGTATTCTTTTCTTTCTTCTTCTTTTTTTTTAATTGTTAATCTGAGCCTTGAATTTTGCCTAATTGTAAGTGTCATTAATCTATTTATTAAAGCTAGCACTTGACTGGATTTAAATGTTTTATTCAAAATTATGAGTTAACATTATGCATTATTGTCTGTAATGTAAAACAGATACCGGTTTGATGATGTAAATGCCATTTTATTGCACTGCTGTTGTAATGGAAATTCTGCATAGTAAATCTTTTATTTATATGATTTGTTTAATATACTGTTTTCTTTCTACTTTTAGGTGTTCATGGTGAAGGTTCAACATTCATTTCTTTATATGCTCTTTTATTCTGGGATATTATTTATGATGGGAGTATACCAGATGTGTTTATTAGTCCTTATCAAACGCATCCATTGGATTTAAATTCTGATTCTTTCTTCCATACCAGAGAAAAACAGATTTTAAGCCACTTGGAGAATATAAGGTTATCAACAACAGAAGTAATTAACTCTGTTATAACATTCTTTATAATTCTAATCCTTAGAAATGTTAAATATTAATAGAAATTAGTAGAAATAAATAAAATAAAATAAAAATGTTATTTAAGCAAACTGTTCAAATGTGTTGGTTGAGCATTAGCACTGAAGGCCTAATGAGTATGTTTCCTCAAGCACAGAATTAAAGAATCATAAGTCAAAAGATTAACTATGAAATCTTTAATAAAATAGGATAATTTTGCTTACTTAAGCAAACAAAAAGTAATAATCTTCACAGACATTAAATTGAAGTATTCAAGAGAATAACTTCATAGAACCATCATCAGTACTAAATATCATCAGGCTTCCTATATTAGCAATAAGAAAAATAAAACAGGAATATCTTGCCATCGTACTGAAAGAGAAGAAAGTACTACTGATTAGACTTTGGCCAGTACAAGTAGCTAAGGTGAAAATCAAATATACTGAATTGCACACGAGCTTTACTTCTCTCGCCAATAAATACCTTGGCGCACGTTCATTTCGTATGCCTTCGAGTTTCATTATGCAAAATACCAAATTTATGCTAACATTGTCCCTGTTTTGCTAGTGAAACTCATACCAATTGTAATTCTTCTGGCAAAACTGAAATTTAGCTTTAGGAATTGGTTTAGTCATAATATCAGCAAACCATTTCTTCTGTTGAAAGATAAGCAAGTTTACCATTCCTTTGTTATTCAGTCGCGTATATGATGAACTTTGTATCAATATTTTTTGTGCGTGAACTGAATTTTTCAGATTCTACAAGTCTTATAGTAGACTGATATCTTCAAATACCTTTATTGGTTAGAGTTTGGGGGTAGATGAAATCTTCTGTTAATTTTAATAGCCACAATAGTTCTTGCGTAGCTTGCGATAGTGCAACATATTCAGCTTCTGCTGAGATAAAAAAACACAAGTTTGTTTTCTTGAAAACCATGAAATACAGTTCCTCCTAATAAAATAACACTTCCTGATGTAGATTTTCTATCTTCAATATCTTGTCCAATCAGCATCTGAATAACTGTAATATTAGGTTCTTCACTCGACGAAATTGTAAGGATAGGTTTCTTGTCGTGTTTTAAGTATCTAAGATTCTTATAACAGCATTCCAGTCCTTTTGACGTGGATTGTTACACCTTCTGCTGAGTATGTGAGTTGAAACTGGTGATATCTGGTCTTGTGATAGACGATATATACAAAAGACTTCCAATAGCTTGGCGAAATTTATCATTTGAAGTTAGGAGATTTTTCTTCCTTGTTTAGGTTATAATAGTTCGTTTCCATTGGTGTGCTAGTGGGTTTCGCTTCTTCAAGTTGAAATTGCTTGACAAGTTGATTATTTTATTTTTATGTTGATAAGAGATAACTTCCATCTTCCTTGCGATTTATTTCCATGCCTAAGAAATATTTAGCTTCACCAAGATGCGGTATTTGGTAACATTTCTTTAAATCATTAATTGTTTGAAGAATTAGTCCTTCTTCTGTAGAACTTATTAGGATGTCATCAACATACACTATTAAATTAATTCTTTTATCACGAACCACTTTTGTGAAAAGACACGGATCTGCTTTGCTTTGACTGAACCCCAATTCTTCAGTGTATTTTCAATTTCTGCATTCCAGCACCTAGCTGCTGTTTGAGACCATAAATCGACTTCTGTAATTTACAAACTTTTATGTCTTTTCTTCCGGAACCACGAATCCTTCTGGTTTTTCCATATATATTTCTTCATTTAAGAAGTTGCCGTACAAAAAAGCTGTTTTAACATCTAGTTGATGTACCTTGGCATTATTTATACGCTGCTCATGCTAAGAAAACTCTTATCGTAGTGTGTTTCACTACTGGTGAAAAAGTTTCATCATAACCACTGCCGTACTTTTTGAGTAAATCCTTTGGCTACTAAGCGTGGTTTGTATTTATATTTTTACCAGTTTCATCATATTTTGTCTTAAACCACCATTTGCTGCCTACTGCATGTTTTCCTGGTGGTAATTCATAAGTTTATAGGTTTCATTTTCTTTTAGAGAATGTATTTCTTCTGCATAGCCTTGATCCAAGCTTTTTTGTTCACGTTTGGTAAGTTTAGAATTTCTTCAAAGCTTTCTGGATCTTTAATTTTAAGTAAGATTGATTCTTCGTCTTCTGCTTTATAAGAGAATCTTTCCGGTGGGACCCCTTTGGTTGATCTGCTAGAAACCCTTCTTTCTACATTTTCTTCACATTTAATTAACTCTTCGGAACTTTTTGAATCTTCTGTAAAATCATCGCCAAGAGATGTTTCTTCTTTATTTTCTTCATCATCTTGCGAGTTATTGAAGTGAATTAATTCTAAATCTTCAGCATTATTTTCTGCAAGTTTGTCAGGTAAAGACGCGTTTTCTGAAAATTTAACAGTTCTACTTACTATTATTTTTCTTCCACCTACATAAATCCTGTATCCCTTACTTCGTAAATCGTATCCTACGAATATTCCTTCTTCGGCTCTGTCGTCGAATTTACGCCGCTTTTGTTTGTTCACATAATAAAATGCTTTACAGCCAAAACTTACTCGTAAGTGACTTAAGTTTGGTTTTCTACCATTCCACAATTCATATGGTGTTATATCTGTGGCTTTAGTTGGTAACCTATTTTGAAGATATGTGGCAGTAGCTACTGCTTCAGCCCAGAATCCTTTCGGTAATTTATAGTTTATTAGCATAGCTTTTGTCATTTTTATTAAAGAGTGATTTTTCCTTTCTGCGACGCCGTTCTGTGCCGGACAGTAAGGAACCGAAGTTTGATGGAAAATACCAAGTTACTTTAAATAATTTTCTGTAGTTTCGTTACAGTATTCTGTACCATTGTTGGATCTGAAAACCTCTATTTTCTTTCTAAATTTTTTTGTTTCGATGCAGTTTAAGTTGTCAAATACTTCATCTTTTGAGTAATAAAATAAATTTGAGTATAACGCGAATAGTCATCAATGAAAGTTATGAAATATCTTTTCCCTCCTAAGCTGTTGACTTCAATTGGCCCACACACATCTGTGTGCACCAAATCCAGTGATTTTTAGATCTAAAATAGTCTTGGGATAGGTGTGTTCAGTTAGTTTCACTTTTACACAAGTAGAACATTCCACACTATGAGTGCATTTGCCAAGTTTAATGCCGTCTGCCCAAATCATTTTTCTCAAGTTTTTTATGGCATCTATTTCTGTGGCCTAATCTTTGATGCCATTTTAGTATACAGTTCATATTTGAACATGAAACATTATTAGTTAAGTATGCTTTCTCATCAGTTGGGTTTACGATCAATTTATATAAACCTTGCTGAGCGTTGCCGTCGGCTACGAGTATATTGTTATGCTTTATGTAACACTTATTACTATCAAAAGTAACAATGCAACCTTTATTGGTAACAGATTGAACAGAAAGTAAATTACTATCTAAACTGGTACATACAATACATTTTCCAATTTTTTGTGTAACCTGACCCTTAAATTTTGAACTTTAAAATCAACCTTTACCAATACCATAAGAATTTAATTTAGCACCATTGGCTACAGTTACTATTGTTTATTAGAGTCATTTAACTGAGAGAAAATTTTTTATCACTTGTCATATGAGGCTCCTGAGTCGATAACCCCTTCTTGCGTTTTGTGTTTTCATGTTTATTTTCCACTTTTAGAACTTGATTAAACTGAATCTGGTATTTTCAGTTTCAATACTTTTAAATACTTATTTTCTTTAAGTTTTGTTATGTTTACTACACTTTGCGTATTTGCTATTTGGCATGCATACTTTTATAATTTTGAGAATAATTTCTTACTTACTTTATTTACATCTGTTTTCGGGGAAGTTCTAGCGTTGCGTTTTAAATGAAAACAGTCATTTATCGTATGGTTATTTCTCTTACAATAAGTACAAAATTGTGTAACATACTTTGTTATTTTCGCTTTTCTTTTTAAAGCAACTGAATCATACTTTTGAACTTTCTTAGTTTCCCACAACGTCTACAATACTCATCTATTAGTTTGTTTTAACATATTCTAGCGACATTCAGCTTCCGATTTACTTTCTATTGCAGTTAAGAGTTGTATGAATTTGGTAAAGAACATAGTAGTATGGTATTAATTATTTTCTTTAATTTCTTCACTATACTACGCAGCTTTCAGCCAACTTTAGTACTCCTTTGATATGTTTTCCTGCATTTTAGAACTTCATTATATCTAATGGAATATAGTTTTCTAAGAAGAAAAACTTATTTGTTTAAATTTCCACGTTCATGGACACATTTTAAACTTCTGCCAAACTTCTTTTGCAGATTTACTATGCAATACTGGATAATTTGCGAATCCGAAATGTTTAGCACATAAAGCCTTAGCTTTACGATCATTCTTTAACCAAATATCAGTAACAGTTTTGGGTTTTTTTTCGAATACAACATCATCTAAAACCTTCTTTTATTAGAAGTTGTTTTATTTTAAATTTCCACACTGAATAATTTTCATCTGTTAATTTTTCTATACAAATTGATTCTTTTAGAATAGACATTATTATTTGTTACAATTATTCTTATAAACTTTGTAACTAGTTTTTTTTTTTCAACAAAGAATTTTAACACTTTATGCCCCTGGAATCTTACAACATTACAAAATTTCACTTTCTCAGTCTCATAATCTTTTTGTTGGTTGAACATTAGCACTGAAGGCGTAATGAGTACATTTCCTCAAGCACAGTTTTCATTAAAGAATCATAAGTCGAAAAGATTAACTACGAAATCTTTATTTAATAAAATAGGATAATTTTGCTTGGCTTAAGCATAACAAAAAAGTAATAATCTTCACGGACATTAAAACACTGAAGTACTGAAAAGAAGATAACTTACATAGAATCATCAACACTCCTAAATATCATCAGGCTTACCTATTTTAGGCAATAAGAAAAAAGAAAACAGGAACATACTTTGGACACCGTACCTGAAAGAGAGAAAGGTACTAACTGTATTAGACCTTTGGCCGGGTACAAGTAGCTAGGGTGAAAATCGAATATATTGCATTGCACACGAACTTTACTTTCTCTCGTTAATATATATCTTGGCGCACGTTCGTTTCGTATGCCTTTCGAGTTTATTATGCAAAATACCTAAATTTATGCTAACAAAATGACTTCTATAAATAAATTATTATAAAATAAATATCTTTTACTACTTTATGTCTGAGTAAACATCAACATAGATTTTGCATTAGTTAAAAATATTAGATTATGCTTTTTTTTTACATAATTTCATAAAACATTGATTTGCTTTATTGCTTATTGTTTCTTTAAGATTATCTGCATTTATTATTTTTACATAATACAGGATTCTTTTATAGTAGCAAAGTACACTACGGCTAACTGTTTATGGAGACTTTTAAAGCAAACTGCGCTGTACTTATGTTTTACACAAATAATACCATAAAAATTTATGCAGCCAATCTGTTTACCTTCCAGGAATGGAATCCAGGGGAATCTGATTCTTTTATATCTTTAGTCTTTTAGCCACTGATCTGCCTTTCCATATTAAATGTCTCATTAAAATTTAAAATTCTATACATAAATTTTTAATAATATAAAATTATATGCTTTAGGAATCTCTTGAATTTTAGCTGAAAGATTTAATTTAAAAATGTATGATGTATATCTTGTCTTTATTTTATTGCTGTATATATTAATTTCTGTGTTATTATAGTTTTAATTCTCTGTTGTTTTATTTATATTTAGTGTAAGATTTTGAATGTTAAATGTTTCAGATATTTTTATTTATGCTGTTTTGGTACATTATAACATAATATATGCTGAGTTTTTCATTAATAATAAAAAGTATACAACACATTTTCTTAGAAATGAAACTCTTCTTAAACTACTTTTTTATTACTTGTTTTTAATTATTAAAATTTGAATCTAAAATTTAAAGCTGTTTCATTATTTTCTGTTTTGCATTTCCTTTATGTGTTATTCAAATTTCATAGGATATAAAAGAAATAGTCAAAACAACTTGGGAAAACCATTTTGGAAAATCGTCTCTTGTGTCATGGGACAGATTTACAGATGTTGAGCATGTTATGGTAATACCTAGCAATTTTTATACTTAAATTTCTTTTCCTTGACATGTTACACATGACTTTTGTCCAAATTATATAGTCAGACTATGTAGTATTTATGAATTTATATTTATTGGGAAGTACTCACCAAGTTTGTTTTTTTAAGTCTAAGGAATTTAATTAAAAATCAGAGTTTAACTATTTAAAGAAAGTAATATCATATTGGAACTAATTTCATTGATCAGAGGACAGAAAAACTCTGCTTTTTAAAAGTGGATTTAAATATGTTGCAGTAACTACTAAAGCAATGCCTAAAAAAAATGGATCAAAATTTTTTTGCTGTATTAATGTACCTTTATTGTGTAGCTGATTTTTTATTTATCAATGCCAAATTATATTGATATAGAATTCTATAAGAAACACAATGTGTAAGCAAAAATGCATATATTGTAATGAGAACGAATACTGAAGAACAAATGTTAAAGATACTGTAGCAACAAGAGTCGGTATAAGCTTTATGAATTTGAATTGTTCTTCTGTGTATTGTTTTAGTACACAGAAGATAATTGGATTAGCATCAGATGAGCTGTTTATTTTTTGCTACAGTCTTCTATTGTGCTTTGTTTGCCATTTCGTGCCAGCTGTTTCTTCTTTCAGTGTTTCTACTTGTTTCGAATTTTGCTTTCTCAGTATCAGTTTCAATGGTGCCTGTGGCTTGTTTCCTTTTTCTTAGTTGGAACTTTGTACTTTTTTGTCTATTGCTATCATTTGAACATATGCTTCTCTATCATCATTTTTACTTTTCTAGCTTGAGAAGGTTCTGTGTAACATTTGAAACTAGTAATACAAATTTATGAAATAAGAACATGAGAAAATGTTCAGTTGTCGCAAATTAGAAAACTATAAAAATCATAGTAAGAAAGTAATAATTTGTAATAATTTCGTATATAAGAATATTTCCAGGTACTGTAAGAATAAGAGATCATTTTTAGCACTCGTTTTAAAGATATTAATTGAATAAGTTGACACACTGAGAACTTTTATTATTATTTTTTTAATGTAGAAGTACCTTGGCAGTTTCTAATTTACAGTGCTAAGTCAATTAGTTTTTTATGTTTTCTAAAGAGTAAGTTTTTTGTAAGTTGAATATATAAGTTTTTATATTTTGTAACTATGTATATGTTTGTTCTCTTTCTATATAAGATAATTAAAGTAAAATCACCATGGCAGAGTTTTCTGTAACGGAAAAAAGAAAAAATATAAATACAGTGGTGACATTAGACATTGATGAACTGCATGGCCACTTAATTAATTAATTAATTTTTTTTTTCAAATTGTTATAATGTATTATTTACAAGCAAAATAGAAATTTTTCTACCTGTCTGAATTATAATAAAGTTATTAATAAAATAACTGTAATTTGAATAGCAGTTTCTTTTCTTCCCCCCTTTAACTGAAAAATAAAAATAAAGAGCATGTTTCAGAGTTCGAAAACACTATTATTTTATAGCAAAATACATAACAACATCCATGTAGACTATGATTATATAATGACTTATATTCCAACCCATATTTGAAATTGCATTAATTATAGCAAATTTATACTTAATTTGGCTGTTATCATTTCATGACAGGGTTTAGTTGCCTGTATGGGTAATAATCTACTTTGTGGCATATGTGAAAGGCTTGCCAGGGATTTTAGATTCACAAGAAGCGGTGTTCCTGATCTTGTTGTATGGAATCCTGAAACATTATTAGTCAAAGTAAGTAACTATAAACATAAATTATGCACTTTATGCCAAAAAAATTATGCTTTTTAACTATTGTTATATATACATATATATAATATATGTAGTTAAAACCTGTTTCATTCTTTACATTTTATAACAGTAATTAATGGATGAATATGTGTCTCGATGTGGTGTGTCATGCTTCATGCTGTAAGGAAGAGATTTATGAAATATAAACAGCAATTAGGAAAGTTGCCTTTAGAAGAAAGAAAGATACCAATGTTGGAATTTCCATAACAGGAATATTATAATAATTGTATCATCTCCATTATAAAAACATAAATCTATAAAATTGTTACTTTGAGAAAAATATGTTTAAGCATATGACACATTGCTGTTTGAGTAGAATTGAGTGTAATCTTTATGCAATAATTTTCATATTTTCTTGTAATATATATATATATTTTTATCTTTTAACTTGCAGCAGTAGTCTCAAACTCAAATTGCATGTAGGCTAAATACACAGTCTAAAAGCTGGATTTTTTAAAAAATAAAATTAGAGTAAATATATTAATCCTTTGACTATGAATTTAAGAAAAAAGAAACTTTTTTTTACTCTGTTTTCTATCTAAGGGGGGGGGGAATATGTCATAAATAAGGTTAATTTAGCATTTGGGATTTTGTTTTGAGAAATGGTTTTCAAGCCAGAAGCTGGGAAAAATATGTCCCGGCCCATAGTTAGTGGTGGGATGTATATGTCCCACACGTAGCAATCGACTTACTGTAAGCACACCTATTAATTATTCTGAAAGACTTTATTATATTAAATAGATTTACATGGTATTGTACAAGATAAAAAGCATTCTTTGCATAATCCAACATCACATATTGGGCAACTCATATTTGTTCTTTTCTCTATGTTTATTTGTGTACAACAAACACAGAAGCATCTTGATTTTCCAACTATTGGAAGATGATCCCCAACATTCAGGAGATTCTAGGTACTTTTTAGCCCAGCAGTAATTTTTTAAGTTTTAGTGGGACGTATATGTCCTATTAGTAGTCAAAGGGTTTATTAATGCATTTGTGTATGTATATATAAACACTCACACTGATGGAAAATGAAATTCCAACACCAAGAAGAAATCAGTTTAAAGTAATTAAATGTAGGCAAAGCATTTGTCTACATAATGTATTTATTTGATTAGTGTTTCAAGGTCACAGGTTAAAATATGAATGAGGGAAGCCATTTTAAATGGGAAATGGTGGTACATTAACCGTTTGACCGTTCATTTGTCTCGAAAACGCACTGCGAGTTTCAGTGTGTCTTTGTTGCTCCGTGGGTGTGAACGTACATAGTCTGACCTGACGCTTACTTTGTAACACGAGTGTATTCTAAAATAACTAACTGCATCACGGTTTTCGAGACAAATGAATGCATCGCTTTTGCGCCGTGTAGCAGTCAAATGGTTAATAACTGCTGTAGTTGTCATAATGAAGCAAGCATGCAGTGTGCTGTGTCATTTTATCGGATGGAGTTCCATCCTTGTTGCATTGTCAGCAGTAGTCTGTGCTATTTGAGGATAATGCTGGATTTGTCCTCTAGTCATGCCCCATACATGCTCGATATTGACATTGCAACACTATGAGGGTATCCTGTTAAAAATTCACTGATGTACAAATTTTGCTGTCAAGGTAAGTGAGATAACACCGAGAGTGCACCTACTGACAGAAAATTGCTTCCGAGACCATAACTCTTAGTTTAGATCCAATGTATCTACTACATAGACAACTTGGTTTCAAGCACTCACATGGCCTCCCTCTAACTAACACCCAGCCAACACTGGCCCTATGACAGAAATGGTTGTCATCTGAGAACACAACAGATCTCTTCTCCATACTCTAAAGATTTCTAGCTTCACATCACCAGTGTCACAGATGGTGGTGATTTGGACTTAATGACACAAGCCATCTGGCTAGGAGCTGTCTCTCAAGTAATCAATTTAGTTCCAGTTTGCTTTGTTACTGTGGTGCCAACAAAAGCTGAAATGTTTGCTGAACATGCAGTCTGATGTGCCACAGGCATGCAGTCATCTTCTTCCCTTTGAGTGACGGCACTTTTGTGGTTGGATCTCGGACTTCTTGAGACTACTACTTCCAACTTGCATGCGTAATGAATACATTCCTGAAGCTCTTTCTGAAATATTGTAAAACGAAAATCATACTTCTAGCAGTCCTGTTATATGGCCTCAGTCAAATTCAGTAAGTGCCTTTGTCTCCTTAAAGGCAGTCTTGTCTCAAATCTTGCTCATGATGCCCAATTTGAAAGTTAAGTAAAGCACATTAAATTTACTATGTATGTTTAAAGCAAACATGATTTGATCCATGTTCATAGTGGCCCTACTAGTGATATTTTTGAGTGCAAAATTTGAATAGGCATCATTTTTCAACTATGCGAACACGCCTCCCAAATATATATTACATGGTAAAAACAGCATGCAAGCAATATTAAAAACTTATGTGCAGTTCTAAACAATTTGTATTAATACAAGCACAGAGAAGCAAGTTTTATAGGCCATTCTAGTGGCCCAAGCCTGTCAGATGAGCAGGCTGTGGCCAAAGCAAAATTTATATGTCCTATGCACCCCTGGAAAGAAAATATAAAAACATTTCAATATGAATGAAATCAGTTCAGTCTTTCAAAGCAACAACCAATTAATAAAACTTTTTCCCCCAAACAGAAAGGGGGAAAAGTAAATAAATAAATAACAGTAAAAAAAAATTACAAAGTAAAAAATAATAAATAGACACTTTAGGTTAATGCATATATGCATGATGTCTTGATTAGCCCAAAGGAGCATTAGCCCAGAAGGGCTATTAGTTTGGAAACTGCAAATTGTGTTGGTTAACTTTAAATTACATATATTTTTAAATTGTTGCCACCAAATATTATCGTCTTGTATTATATTTAAAGAAAGTAAACAATGAAGAGTCTGTATGAATGTATGTATGTTTTTGCATTGTGAAAAAACAACAGTACATAGAGCCACCAAATTTTGAATAACACAATCTCCAACCAAATGTGGGCATCTTGAGGCCAAATTTTGAATTTGTTTTATTCTCTGTTTCATATCTGGTAAGATTTTATAAATTTTTGATTAACAAACTCAATGATTTCAAAGGGAGCAATGGCAACACTATGCATAAAAAAAAACATTTTTATCTCCAGCGTGTGAGAAGAAATTTTGAAGATCTGCTGTTTTTAAATATTTTGTGATATTGCTATTGATTTGAGTTTTATGCGGTTTAATTGTGAGGAATATGATATTTAATAAATAAAGGTAACACAGAAAATGTTAAAAAAAAGTCTCTTTGAGCATAATATAAAATCTGAAAGCTTTCAGATATTTTTTTAATTCTTAAACTGATTTTTTAGATGTAATGTAATATAACATATCATGTTAATTAACAAACTCTATGATTGGAAAGTCAGCATAGGCAACACTTTTTGAAATAAAGCAGATTTTTATCTCCAGCACACAAGATTCGTGCCACTCAAAAAAAATGTGGACTGAAGGTTATGTTTGTGCTTCTTCAGAAGAAAATTATTTGTATCTAATTACTAAAAAATGCCGTGAAAGGCATGGCTTCTTGATATTTAAAGCTCTATGATAGATAATATTGCCAACAAGGAAGGGGAAAACACGTCAAAGTTTGGCTTCAGGTGAAAAAAAATTTTCAAAGTACATATCCAAGGAAAAAACGGAATGTTTTAAATGTTGCAAAGGTAAGATATTTAATGTTAAAAAAAAATCCATTAAGTCAAAGGACAATTATAATATCATTAAAATGCTCAGAGTCAACTGTAAACAAAGCAATTAATGCTACTTTGAATCTTTAAAAGGTCAAAAATCATGTGCGTCGTCTTTCTCTACGACATACTGATGAATGCAGAACACACTGCTTCGTGAGAAAGATTTATCCGGACAAAAATGGAAAATGTTGTCACAACAGATGACTCTTGGGTGTATTTAAATGGCTGCAATAAAACGAAATCTATTTATTATCATCAAAAAGTAGAAAAAAGTCTTAAAACATGGTTCAAAGAATGTAAAATTTTCCAAAAAGATTTATGATTGCTGCTGGTTTTCAAATAAAAGTAAATTAAAAATAAAAATACTGGAGGAACATATTTTACACCCATTTTCAAGTAGGAAGCACCTTCTTTCTATCCATCGTGCCACCATTCAGTAGAACTGTATGAAGCGAAAGCAGCCGCACGTCAAAATCCACTGTTAATTTCCTGAAAAAAGTGGAACAGGAAGCGAGTATCAAAGCCATACCCTTCATTGATATCCCTACTAAAACTCCTGATGTATCATCCATAGATTTCTGCTGTTCTGGACTTTTAAAATGCAGAAATGTCTAAACGTCGACCTACAACCCTCCTTGGACTTTGTTCAAGAGGAAAACTGTTCAAGAGGAATGGGATAAAATACTTGTATATCTTGTTATATTGGAAAAGGGTTTATTGTCTTAGAAATTATGGTGTAGAAAGATAGTGAAAAATAAATTTTATCAAATAGAATGTTTAAAACACAAAAATTTTAAGTAATATATTTCTATAAATGTAATGAAAATTATCTAAAAAGTATGCTGACAAATTAAATTAAAAAAAAAAAGAAATAAGGTTCAGGTATTGTATGAATTATCCAAATTTTTATTGTGCACAGTTTTATTGTGCAGTGAATGGTATGAAATCTGCTAAGGTTTCTTTAAGTCAATAAATAATGAATTAATCATTATAGTATAAAGCATATCATAAAATTACTGAAATTTTTATTATGGTAGATTTTTAATTTTACTATTTTGTATCAAAATAGTCCATTTTCATAGTATTCTAAAACTTTCATTTTTTTTTCTTTGGAAGGAAGATGAGAGTAAGATGTAAATATGTATGTAGGGTGCTCTGTTAATATGTCATCAAACTCTAGGGGATGATATAAGCATTTAGAGGAAGAATAACTGCCATGGAACACACTATCACACACCATGTGTAGTCAGTGAAAATTATAAAAGTCATTATGGAGTGTCTGATTATTATTATTATTGAGCGAGGACTAAAAAAATATACAACAGTATGTGCAGAATTATTTTATTTTGTAGCTATTTACAGCCTGTGGTGTAGAGTACAATTTTGCAGAGAGGAAAATCAGAAGTTATTAGAGGTGTTAGTTGAAGTGGCAAAGGTGGACATTATTGTACAGCTCTCAGCAATGAAGAAACAGTTGTTGTGCTTGAAGGTACCAGCTGTACTATTGATGTCTGCTTGCATTGACAATGATTGATGCTGTGAGATCATTCCTTGTCTTCTTGGTCATCTCATAAATGAGTGATTTAAAATGTCCCCCCAAAAAAGTTCAAGAGATTAAGTGTAGTGAATATAGGCCTGTACACCTACTTAGATATGTAACATGGAGGTGGGTAAGCCATAAGTCTCTCTACACTGCAGATGATACAATGTAGCAAATCCAGGAAGATGAGTGTCAGAAAATCAAGATTTCTTGTGCCATTGAAGCTTATAGGCAGAAGATATGGCCGCAACAGATAATCACGAAGTATTCATGTCCAGGTATATTGACGTACTCAATGCAGTGAAACATCCAACACATAAAACTATACTGAAGATAGTTATCTTCAACTAGGAGTTTTATGTTCTGCATGTGAAAGAAGTGCATGTTTACAGAATCTTTGACATTGTTGTGTACAGAATATTGAATTAATTTTAATCATTCATGTACTTGTCTGAGGCAAATAATTGTTCAGTTTATTTTTTTCACTTCTTGCATACGTAGCATGGTCATCCACCATATCGCCTTGCTGCCTTGAAGGACTTCCATAGTCATCAATCAGTTGGTAAAAGCGATGTGGTGCAGATACTGCCCCCTTGAATATCACTTTTGTTATATCCCCTGTGTTAAATGTCCATACCCACCTGCTCAACTGCAAATCAAATGTATATGAATATATTCTTTATTCTTTTAATCTGCCTTATTGTTCCCCAACTAAACAGTTCCACATAGTTCCAAAGCATTACTGCAATGGTGCTTTCATCCATCATCTGCAGCCCCAGCACATACATTTTGCAATGCTGCTTATGTCAGGCATGGTGAATGAGCCAACCTATGAACAAAATCATCAGTCCACTACAGCCTTCTCTTTCCTCTCAACATCAGACCTACCTTATTTTTGTGATTTTTACCAGTAAATATAGTTTGTGATAACATATTTTCTAGAAAATATTGTTTCTCTTCATACCTACTGTCAGTTTTCTGATTACATAACTGCATTAACAGAAAACCTTGCATGTATATATATATATATATATACACATTTCAAAAGATTACATTTCTTAAATTTATACATGAAAATAGAATTTATGTTAGCTCTTTCTGTTTCAAGATAGTAGAAGTTAAAGGACCTGGTGATAAGTTATCTTCCAAGCAGATACTTTGGTTAGATTATCTCATAAAACGTGGTGCAAACGCTGAAGTTTGCTTAGTTGAAGGTTTGTATAGTTTTCTTTTATTATATAAGAAATATTTAATATTTAATTTATATGAAAATTTTGTGGAATTTGATTTTAATTTATTAAAGTTTCATACTTATTACAGTTGTCTAAAATGAATATTCTGTGCCTGCTTATGCATATAATTAATTAAAGGTCGGAACTGAGAGTGAAATATATATATTATTTATTTTTTTCTATTTTAAAATAAATAATGCAAATATTAATTTTTCAGAAATCAGGTTAAAGCCTTTTCCCTTGAAATAATAAATGTAAGATATTTAAAAAGAAAAGCATGAAAATACTCTCCCTTCCTTCTCTCTTTTTTTTTTTTTTTTTTTTTTTTTTTAAGATGGCGAGCACTAGCCATTTTTAGTGCTTTTGCCACTATTAAGGCCAGAAGTGGTGGTCATTTTACTATGGAGGCACTTAATAGGTGGCCACCATTGCCTCCTGTGAGAGGACAGACAATTTACATCTCTCTGGAATTCGAACTCGGGCTCTCTGGTATCGCTCAGCTCCCCTAACCATTATACCAGGGTTTCCCAATCCAATGCCCGCCAGTCGTTTATCGTGTGCTCGCTGCTGTGCGATCACAATAAAAATGTTCTAGTTCTCAGTTAAATTCTGTGTGAAATTTTTCTCATTTTTAATGAAATAGAAATTGCCTCCAACACCAGATACCAGCACAAAGCGAAATGCAGCCGATCTCTTTTTTATGTACATGTATTATTAACTCTATTCAACTATAAATTCACCTTGAAAAAGAAAATAGTGCCGCCATCCAACAGATATTTTAGAATGTGCTCTTAGAGAGAAAAGGTTGGGAACCCTTGCACTATACTTTTTGGGTAGCAGGATGAGAATGCTTGATACAGATAAAAATGTATCAGCTGTTAAATGAATTTGTGAATATTTAGATGTGAAAACTCAGTAGATGGACTGAATAGAAATATTTGAGTAAAGAAAATTATCTTTCTAGGAAAGAAATCTGAAATCCATATCACTATTCTTCGCACCTGACGCCCCAAATGAAAAATCTGTAACCATTAATAAATTAAGAATAGGCAAATGATAAAAAAAATTTATTTCAAATGAGATATCTTATAAGGTATTTCATCTCTCCTTTCTGCATGCCTTCATGACATAGCAGTTAGCAGAGTTGGCGCGTATTCGAGAGGTCCAGGTTCGAGTCCCACCGAGGGCACTGCACATTTTTCGTGTACTCCTGCTTAAAAATAACCTAATGTCTCTACAATCTGACATTTCATTAATTGTAAGTAGTGTAATTAAAAAATTTATCTTTGCTGTATGTTGTCTGCCATGTTAGGTGGATCCATATTCTGTCCTGTTGTATTCTTTGTTTCACTAATGCATATCATGGATAAAGATTTTAGTTTTTGAAATTATGATAAATCATTCTTTATTCATTGTATTCATTGCCAGTATATTATATTTGAATGTTTTCATAATAAATAAATATGTGGTTAAGTGTGATCACTTTAAGGGAAATAAATAAAAAATTGCTATCAATATGGTAATTTTGCAGTAAACCTTTTTTTTTTTAATTATTATTTTTCTTCCAAATATTTTTTGTAAATAAACTGTGTTGAAAGAGTTAGTACAGTACAAAGTCCATAATCGTTGGACTTCGGCGATTCCGGATTAAGGTTTTTTCTGGATTATAGATCATCAATTTAAATCTGGTAAGATGGCATGCAGAAATTATACAATTAAAAATATGAAATAAAGAGCAATTATGATCTAAAGGGTAACAAAATTTAAAAAAAAAAAAAAAAAAAAAAAAAAAAATATTTGTTTACTTTCTAAATATTTTTTTCAATGCAAGTTGTTTAAGTTGCTGAATTAAAATCAATATGCAATATGTTTTTTGTGCGTTTAGCGTAAACATTAAACATTAATCTCGCATGCATAAAGCATACAAAAAAAAGTTTGTGGCTTTGAGGTTCAGATTATAGATCATTCCTGATAATAGACGTCCGGATTACAGACTTTGTACTGTAATATCAATAAAATGCTGCTGTCAGTAGCTGAATTCAAACTACTTTTAAGTACTAATCTGAATATATATATACACATACATACAATTTATAATTAGCCTGTAAATGTTTAACATACATTTGTAATATTTGTAATTATTCACTATGTAATAATGCCTTCTTTTGTTTTTTTCCATTTCAGCTGTTGGATCAAAAAAACTTAAAAAGGAATAATATGTGTATAATTTTTTTTTTATTTTTATACTTAAAAATCTTCAAAAATTTTAAAAATGTTCAAAAGGTCCATGTTCATATTTTTATAATAAATATTTATTTAATTAAGTAATTTGAATTTTCCCCCTCTCCATTCATGTTTCACAGAACGCTATTTTGTTAGGTCATCTTTATTGTGAAGTAATGAAGCATCTGATGGTGGTAGTAGAGTTATTGGCACATAACCAGAAAGGTTATAAGAATCTGAATGTGTCTATGTATATTTTTTATTTGCTTTGTAGAAAAATAGTGACTCCTATAGCCATCATATTTTGAAAACACATAGTTCTCCATCCTTATGTGCATATCAAAGCCGAAATTTTGAATTTCAAGTTTGATCATTTATCAAAGTGTAACATATTTGTCTTTCAAATCTAATCAACAAACTCATTTATTTAAAAGCAGTGTGAAATCAATTAACACACTTCTAAAAATTTTTTTTTTTCCTTTTTAATCTGTTGGATTTAAATATAAAAGCATTTAATTGTCTTCTCTAGCTGGACTTGTGCTAATAATTCGTACAGAAGTTTTTCAGTATTCATTTAATCCATCCAATTTATGCTATCTTGTGATAACAATTGCTTTAAGCTCCATGATTTTTTTTCATGGTTCTTTGAGAGAAATTCATTGAAAAAAAAAAAAAAAACTTTAGAAATAATATGTATTATAATGATTGCTACAGAGTGATCATTGTACCCCTAATATAAAGTTTTTCAATGAAAACAAATACAAAATAAAGTGAAACAGTTGACATTATAGTTAATATCATTGCTGCCAATATGCACTGAAAACTTCAATAGCATAACTTAAAATAATACGCATATAGCTGAGAAGATCTGAAGGAAAGAGATATGCTGATCTGTATTTAATTGTTAAACAGTAAGATGCTTTTATGCACTGAAAAATAAAATGCTTTAAAATAATTTTCTTTATTCCTGACCTTTGTGCCCGTGTGCAGTAAAATAAATTTTGATTAGGTAGAATCAAATAAAAAATGTGAACGAATTTAAATCAAGAATTAAAATCAATATGCAATATGTTATCTAGAAGGTACACACACACACACACACACATATCCTCCCCCCAAAAAAAGGAGAAAGGGGGTAAGAAAAGCTGTGCATGTTCGAAGTATTAAACTTATTTCACATGCTTTGGGCAGAACTCTCAACATCACCAATGGTAAGCATCTAAGTTTCTCATGTGCTATTAGCAGTTAGCTTTCCATGCTTATTAGAGATGTGGGACGAGTTTCGAAGATGGTGTCACATCAAGAGAAGGCTTGCTGTACGCTCCATTTTGAAGTGAACAAATTTTAATTGCATTGCAACATCTGATATTTTATAATGGCTATTAGTGTTTTTTTCAGGTGCTAATGATCTTCTAAGAAAATTGCTTTTAGAAGTCTGCCACAAAGTTTATCATTAGGCCTACTTTTTTAAGTGAAATTGTTCAGTTTATAATAATTAGCTAGTTTTTACCAGGCCAGTTTCGAAGATGGTGTCACATCAAGAGAAAGCTTGCTGTATGCTCCATTTTGAAGTGTACAAATTTTAATTGCATTGCAAAATATTTTATAATGGCTGTTGATTCTTTTTTCAGATGCTAATAATCTTATAAGAAAATTGTTTTTAGAATTCTGCCACAAAGTTTATCATTAGGCTTACCTTTTTTAAGTGAAATCATTCAGATAATAATAATTAGCTTAGTTTTTACAATAATTTAATCTCAATTCTAATAGTCACATAATAGTGGAAGAGGGGGGGGAATGTGGGTAAAGACTGATAGAAAAGCAAAATACCTCGTGTGGAACCTCATTTGCATAGCTTGCTTATTTGTAATGACTATTTAATTTTCATAGTTCTACAAATTTTTCTTCATAGTATTGTAATTCAACTATCAAAATGTATGTTTTATTTGACTTATTGCTACTCTGGAAATGAGTAGCAATAATTTTTTTATTATTATTTCAACTGTATTTTTAAATTTACCATTTGCTGATGTAGTTTTCTCAAACAGTATTTTTATTAGACTTAGATTATTAACTTTTTAAAATAAAATGTTTACTGCAAAATGTAAAAATGCAAATTTAAGTAAAAGAATTTTTGCTAGACATTTATTGAAACATTTTACTGTAAAATATGAAAAAGTAACTGCGAGTATAAATAAAGTTTGCTGCCAAATCATTCAGTGAAGTAAATATTTTTGATCTGTTAAAAAAAACTGGTCACTTAGAATCTTTTTGAGCTAAAACTAGGATTTGACTTATTCTGAAATCGTAATATTTCATCTTCTTAAATCCTACTTTTTAAACAAGAAAATAGTTATTTTATTGCACTCTTTCTTTTAGTTTGTTTGTTGCTTAGTAGAAACATGATTAAATGTATTTGATATTCAGCAATATCCCATACTACTGCAGGTATTATTTTATGAAAACATACCACAAAACTAACTGGATGTTCTAAGGAGCATCTAAATAACGAAAATCGAAAATTGTTCCCTTATAAACATGATTTCAAGTCTAGGGCATGTAGGAAGATCTGAAGACAAATTTTCTAAAAGTTATCATAACTCGATGCCAGATTCTTGTAAGTGCTGTAATTGAAGACATCAACTGAAACATCGAGGATGCGAGCTTTCGAACAGAATAAACAACATATTAGTGCTATATTGGCAATTAAAAATTAAAATTTAATTCTATTGTCAGAATGGTAAAAAAATAATAAAAGATACTTACAACTTGGGTTCTCAGTATGACACGGATGGATACGTTTTTTTGAATGCCTGCTATACTTAGTCTACAAGCTTCCAATAAAATAAGTGGCAAGCTCGAGAAAACAATAAAATGATAGTTGAGTGAAATTAAAAGAGAAAAATTTGGATTAAATTATGTTTAGATGAGTCTAAGCCTAATTTTGTCAATTCGAACTACAGGAAATGCATTAAAACATTTTTTTCACTAATCCCGAGCTCTCTTCGGAAATCACAAAGGTAGATGTTACCCAAACTAAAAAATACACCTAATTTTAATACAGTACGACTCACTTATAACAAGCCTGGATTTAATGAAGACATTGAAAGTACTTTGTTGGTACAATCCAAGTCTATGGGAGCATAATTTTCTTTTAAAGAGCAAACCCTGGTTTAACAAGAAAAACCGAGCAATATATTTGTGATTCATAAAATTTCTATTGACTTCCATCTCACCAACTCAGCTAATCCTTTCTTGGAAAAATTTCTGTAGCATTCCAAGTCGACCGAAATTTAGTGATGAGTATAAATCCTATAAATACCTGATAGTGGCCTTTTTTTATCTTGGAGAATCATCAGGATTGAATTTTTACCACCGACTTCTGCAAGTGTTATCCATTCTATGGATCAAGGGATCATCGAAAGTTTTAAATCAAACTTTCATAAGCACTTGATTTTGATGCTTCTCTAGAGAAGAGAAAAAATAGAAACAAACTCAAATGCTAATGTAAACCATACTCCCATGCATCGTACCTTTAATGGATGATGCATGGGAAAATGTTACATCAACATACATTACCAATAACTTCCATAAGGCTGTATTGAACATTTCTCAAGACTGGCAAATCACTGAGGAAGAAGAAGTAGATGTGTTGGAAAATTTGAAATGAGCAGAATTTGAAAATTATGTATCTGTATCTGTTCGCTTCCGAGATGCCTACTGCCGAGTATACTGTAGCTGAAATTAAAGCTAAAGCTGATGAAAAATATAATGAAAGTGATGATGATAAGGATGACTGTGAACAATTTCAAGCTAAACTGCCCCCAACATACTCATTGGCTTTTTGAGTGTGCAGAAACACTTCCAAAGCCAGGGGTGATGTTTTTCGCATGAAGATGTTTGTCGGGCCGAGCCTTTCCGGAGAACAATCGAACACAATAATAAGGAACAATAAGGGAAAAGTTACTTATTGAGTGCAACTGCAGTAGAAAACAATATGTATTAAATAAGTACACAGTGTTTGCTATTGTCGTTGAACTTGATTTTATATTTTCCATTTGAAACACTGCGTATTATTATAAATTTTTGGTTATTATTTTTGTATCTTGTTCTCCTTATTGCAAGAAGTTAGATATTTGCCAGCTATTGATGTATGGATTACTAATATACACATAAGAGTATAATGTTATTTAAGAATCTAAGAAACAATGAAATGAAAGCTATATATGATGTTCATTTGCTGTAAAAAATTATTTTTCTTTTTTCATTTCTTAAATATTTCTATATTATATAGCATATTGTCTATTTAGTAATATATAAGGAATTTTGTGTAGCAATAAAATAATTTGGGGAAAATGTAGAATTCAAAGAGTCCTACAATGTAAACTTAAAAAAAAAGGGAAAAAAAAACTGTCTGAAATACAAACATGCAAGACTTGTTTACCATTTTGATAAATGGTAGGACTGTAAATTTAAAAATAACAGTCCTACCATTTATCGAACTTTTAATGAATTTACCATTTATCGAATAGACTTTTTAGGAACAAAATATAAATTAACTGCTATTACTATATTTTTTTTTAGCCCAAAGGGGTGTTACTCTGGAAGGTCTATTAGTCTTGAAATGGCATCTTATGTCGAATCACTAGAAACGGCTGGATCACTTTTCAAATTGTTGCCACCAAATATTTTCGTCCTGTATTAAGCCCGAATTTGGAATTTGTTTTATTGTCCTTTTCATGTTTTTTAAAGCTTTAACGAATTTTTGATTAAAAAAGCTCAACAATTTCAAAGCAAGCAATGGCAAACTGTAGGGAATCAAATATTTTTATCTCCAGCGTGCGAGATAGTCTATCCCAGGGGTTCTCAACCAGTGGTATGCAAAGAAGCAAAGTATTTTTATCTATTAAATTCAAAAATTAAAACCCCAACATGCTGTTTGAGTTTTTTCTCTACCACTCATAAATTTATGCGATCTGAGCTTTGTTCAAGAATGGTAGTAGTACTTAGTAGTGGTGGTATTAAAGGTTTTTAATTTTCGTTTAGATGGTACGCGCTAGTCAAAAGGTTGAGAATCCCTGGTCTATCGGAAATTCTAAAGATATGCTGTTTTTAAAATATTTTTAGCCTTCATGTTAATTTTATATTTAAGTCGCGCTAGCCCAAATGCTTTCAATACGTGTATGTGTCCCCCCCAAAAAACAAGGCCCGTTTGGGCATAATATAAAATCTGAAAGCTTTTCAGATTTTTAAAATTTTTAGTTTAAAAATCTGAAAGCTTTTCAGATTTTTAAAATTTTTAGTTTACATTCATTTATCTATTATTATTGTTTTGATGAATATGAGGGAGTTTGTGGGCGATCAAATCAGATTTGGGACTGCACACTAGTTCCATGTTTTGAAAGGGTGGAAAGAACAGTTGGATACTGCTGACAAAGCAGCAATATATTGGAACAGTTTCCTGTGGAAAGTTTGTAATCCTTTTCGTTTTAAACAGAACTTCCGGTAAAATCGTAGGAACTAACAATAAAGCAGAAATAAATGAAATCCTTTTTACGACACACACACACACCACACAAAAAAAAAAAAAAAAAAAAAAAAAAAAAAAGGTAGATCGAATTCTTCCTTAGTAGTGGCTATTTGGTGGATTTGCAAAGGACTGACGAATGTTTTGTTGTAAGAATCACAGATAGAAGTGTGGCTCAAAATTTCACAGGAATGGCTGGCCCAACTTTGCCAGGATCTCCTCTATCTTTTACTAACAACATATAGTGAGTTTCAGAAAACAGTGCTACCTTTTACTCTGCATCTGGTGATGACCATCGGTAAAACAAAATGAGTATACTTCAGGTCAACCTAAGTTGAGAACACTGGATATAGTAGAAAGTGTACGCGTCCACTGTAGAATATAGTTCTACGATTTCGAGAAGTAATATTGTAAAATTTACACTGTGATATACAAATACTATTGAACAAAGAGAACGGAAGGAAAAAATCTGTGAAATGATAGATTACGCTGTGTCCAGCTTTTTGTTTAAAAATTTACTAAATCGTGTCAATCATTCAATGACCAGCTGAAAAAGACTTTTTTTGGCCTTTTTTGGCATTTTGGGCAAACTAATGTTATAATTTTAATTGATTAGTGGAATTAATTGGTATAAGATCATTTGATTCTTAATTTTTAAGTGTATTTCACAATTTTAAAGCTTTACTATTTTCTAATATTTTGAAATGGTAAGCTCTTTAGTAGACCGCAATTTGAAGATCTCAATTTCCAGTCTTTTTATTCATTTTATTTTTGATTTTAAATAGTAATCAGAAAGATAGGATAAAACGTACTGTAGGAGGGTGAATTTCTGAAACTGACTGGAAATGCGTGTTTCTTAGGAGACAAATAATACAGGATATAATTTTCATAATGTCTGCTATAAAATATTGTCAAAGATTTTTAAACAATCGCAAATTAAAATCAAACTAACGTCTTTAAAAAATAAAAATAAAACTTTTACCCCCATTCACTGTTTTGATAGCAACAAGCTCTTAAAAATTAAGAGAAAATTGCCTACTACAAGATTTTCCAAATTCATATATTTTACTTTTAACTAAGTGAACGGTCTTGGGGAAAAATTTTGACCCAAACTGCAAGAAATACGTTGTTTGCTCTTCCGATTTCAAGTTTTAAAGATCATCAAATTAGTATTCGTCACATTTAGATAATAGTGAAATATTTCACATAAATTAAGACAATTAATAACGCCCTACATTTTACACTATGGATGAACTATCAATTTCAGCTGCCGCTTCACTGCATAAAAAGATTGTTATTTAAATATGCTGGATTTGGCAAGAAGTCACCAAATGTGTAGCGAATTGGAGGAACTGAATCTCCGCGGGCAGTTTGCTGCTTATGGATAACTTGAAGAACAGGGTGAAAAGCTGTGAAAAAGACATTCTAACCTTGTACATGTTCTCAGGTTAGCTTGTTTGAAGTATAGTGTGGGCAGAGTGAGACGAAAATATAAGTGGCCACCATCAGTCGACGAATAAGGTGAGTTTCTGGTGGAAGGTCCAAATCAATGAATTGAAGATGCTAGTATGAGTAAAAAATATTACGGAGGGAAAATGTCAGATGGATATTTGTGTTTTCTCTGGGAAATGGAGAGTTAGGATAAAAATAAGTGGTAGGATGAGTGAGAACTGAATAGAAAAAATTTCTGGCATGTTTTTGAATGTAATTTTTAACTGGGCCTACTTAGACCGCTATCCTTTATGGTTTGATGGTTGCCAATTTTCACGGTTGGCGGGATAATGCATAAAACGGCCTTTTTTCATTAATATATATTATTTACACAGTAATAAATATATTAGCGAAAAAAAGCCATGGTATTATTCTCTTTTGGCTCTACTCTTATATGCACCATAATATCACCAAATATGGCGATATGTGTTCTGCGCTGGTTTTTGCGCGATTGCATGTGTAATGGCAACCCTGTTGACGTTGAAAAATCTTTTGCTGGAGTGGTTTAATCGCTCGTTGGTTCGTGTCGTGCGTGTTTTGAAATGGCCTATGTTGCAATGATAGACGACGTGGTGGCAAGATTTCAGTCGCATATTTTAGATTGTGTGGAAAGTAAATTTAGTATTAAAAGGTACGATGTTAGAGTTGTTAACGCGTCTCTTGTTCACGGGTTTGTTTATGAGGATTGAAGTGTATTTTTGGAATTTCTGTGGGACATTTAAAACGGAGTCCGAAATGCGAAGCTGGGTTAATCTTTGGATTATGGTAACTTGGCGATTTTTTGGCGACTAACCCTGCTACAGCAACCTGCTAGTTTTTGTTTGGACGCCATTTTGTTTCCACGAAGTTAAGGCATTTTTTTTTTTTTTACATTTCCAACATTTTTTTCCAACAATCTGCTAGCCGAAATTACGCTTATGCTAGAACTTTTATGAAAACAAAAGTGCTTAATCATGACGAAAGATTAGGTGCGAAATTGGGAGAAAGTGCAGAATCGCCCACTACTTGCCGCGTTTTTACGAATTGCACATACACGGTATCATCCATGTACACGTCGACCTATTTTCACTTAAAAAAACATCCCAGAATTGCACAAAAATGGCATTGTGCACACTCTTGACTATATCCATGTACACTGCTAAAGTCCTAGCTAGTAACCTTTATCGCCTTACCAAAATGTCGCCAAACTACCTGTTACCATATTCCAAAGATTAGAGCTGCTATGAGAACTCGGACGAAGAAGGGCGTTTCTGATAGTTCTTGTGTGGATTTGCAGTCAAATGGTTACTGGTAAAGTATGTGGCTGTCAGCGTAGTTTAAGATTTGAATTGTGGTTTTCGTGTAGTATGTTAACTTTGAAGGAAGTTTTTATCGTTACTTTTAAAATATTGAATCTCAGAAAGACATGCGATATAACAAAATCGTAGCAGTTTTGTTCAGAGACGTTGTGTGACTGGCGAAATTTTATTCAGGAATGTACTATGGTAAGTGCATTTTATTTTAGTGTTTTTATTTTGTAGAATGTTATGTTCATTGTTTTTTCACTATAAATTTACATTTTTATTGTTGTTTTTTGAATTGTTATTGTTGTTGTTTGTAATTTAATTTAGTTTATTTGGTTGATTTGTGTACAGTGCCTAGATTGTGCAATTCGTAGATGTTTGTTTAAGTTTAAAGAGAATGTATGGTATTCTTTGAACTTTATTGTTGTTATGTTAAATTATTGAAACGAGGTGTGCATAGTTCGTAGATTCCTTCGTTGCCTAGAATGTGCACTTCGTAGATGTTTTCTGAGTTAAAACATATCGTTGTGAACATGGATCCTTTTGAAATATTTCTGGTTAGAAAGTTTACGTTTTTGCTATCTAAATTTTTTTGCTTTTGTTTCGGATTTTTTACTTAAATTGTGTCTTTAAAACGTGGTTTTTGAACGTGCGAAAACCGCATTTTTGGAGACATTTTAGGCTGAAAATTCGAAATGTAGACAAAAAATTTAGGTAGTAATATGGCGGCGTAGAGTTTCTCGCCAAAAATGTTTGGGGAGAAATTTGGCGACATGAGGGCGCATATAAGAGTAGTTCCTTACTTTTTTTTCTTAGATGTAAATTGTTTACGCTTTATTATTGTATTCATGAAATATAATGTAATAATATTAGCTTAGTTACACAGAATAAAGTATGAAAAATATAAAAGTAGGGCTAAGGCCGTTAGAAAAGACTAAGGAAAACAAATAAATAAAAAAAGTTACGAATGGTTAAGGTAATTAAAATTAAATTTCAATAAACTGAATTTAATGGATCAGATTAAATAAATGATAAGCGATAAATACAGCACCTCGTCATATTTGGGACTCCCAGTGGAATTAAAATTTCATTTAAAAAATTGAAAGTAGCGTCTCAAAAAAGTTGGTAGCAGCGGAATCTGGCTCCGACTGAATATATACTATAATGGTATTATTTCAATGAATGATGAAAACAAAAAAAACCATTCTTTTTCCGTCACATCAATGAAAAAAGTTAGAGCGGTTAAAACGTCGATAATGAGAATCAAGAGAGAATGCTGAAACCAGTATGAGAATACGGAAGTAAATTTTAACGGAGAAGTATAGATATGTAAACAAAGACAGAAGAGTCTAACACTTTTTGACGATTGTATCTTAACAGTATAATTCTAGCTGTAGCGAAGAACGTGACAGGAGAAAAGTAACTGCGTACGAATCTTAGGACTTATTAGTAAGCTGGGAACAAACGCAAGGTTTACCATTTTCATTCTCCATACTTGTTTATAACATTGCGAAAAGTCTGCATTTTCTGTTTTGCGTGGGAATCACTAGGTTTGGATGTGATGGAACTGTTTATCTGTCTTTTACTATGGTAAGCCAAAGTGGATTTAGGAGCATACAACAAGGATACAACAGTTTCCTTTAATGTCCTATTGTAAATCGAGAGTAACAAAAGCCGCCGAAACGGAATCACGCACAGGGTAATCACTTCAAGTACTTTTTGAGACCAAAGATTTACCCATTCTGAAACAAGCTCTCATAAATTTGTTCCTCTTCCTGGAGAATAAGGTTTCAACATGTCGGTGGGGGCTTTTCTTTCCTCAAAAGTCTTAACTACTGCCTAAGGGCTTTTGTTTCCAAGGAAAAGGTGGACGTGCATTCAGAAATTAGAATCGATTAAAAAAAATATCATTTTACGGGATCAAAAGAATTTTTTCCTAGAATTGTGGTTTAGTTTCATAAAAGAAGCGCTGGAGCTATTTTTATTTAGGTCTCTGGTGAGCTTCGGCACAATTTAAGCTCTGCAGAAAGTAATGCAAATAGGGTAGCTCTGTAGTGGGAGAACTGGTGCTAAAAAGGCTGGTTAATTGTGAAAAGGAATGCTGCTCCTTTAATGCAACTTTTATCCCTCTATAGTGAATGTAATCGTGATTATCTGAACCTGAATGGTCATCTTACAGAATCGTCATCTGACATCTTACTTTGTCCTACAGAGGCTGTTTGTACATTTTTTAGACGATTTTGTTTTACTGTAAAAAAGTAGTCTGTTTGGAAATTTTTCTAACACAGTTTTACTTTTGAAAGTGTAAATTATTATCTGCTACAGTTATAGATATGTATTATATCATGAAAATATATATAAATGAATATAAATTATCATGACAATTTTGTTTTCATGTGAAACAATGCATGGAAAGCTTCGTTTGTGATCGTTCCGAGAAAAATTATTTATATCTAGTTACTAAAAAAGGCTGTATTGAAGTTTATAATGTATTCTTTTACAATTTGCAAGTCTGGAAAAGCCTTCTTGATGAACTTTATTTCTAAAAAATAAATTCAGAATCTTTTTAGACGGCAACCCAGATTTAAAAATGATGTTGTCATCTTTTTCTGCAGACTTGAACGTTCTAGTTACTTCCCATTGTAAATTCTTACTTATTACACTTTTGTATGTCCTTTTGTTACTTTTACAATAAAAGAAAAATATTTGAGAATTAAAATTTGTTTAACATACTATTTAATTTTTTTTTAATTGCATGAATCTGGAAAACAAGTGCACGCTAGTCTAGTAAATGTCAATTCTGGCGTTTGGCAATTCTTTGTGTGCGCGTAAAAAATGGTGATTGTTTGTTTGTAATCGGTTGTGTCCGTAGCGGTGTTTCGTAAATTTTAATTTATAATGCTTTTGTCTTTAACGTGCTTACCTGATATACAAATGAGAGAAAAGAGGAGTTTAAAATAATGGGATATTTTTGCTTTTTTATTCTTATTTCTTTATTAATAATATGTTGCAATGGTGAGTAATCTTGTTTACATTTAGGCGACGAAGTATATTTGTTCACAAGTTTTCATTTTTAAATTAAAAAGAAAAAAAAAAAAAAAAAATTGGATATAAATTTTCGTATATTTAATGTATTTTACTTATTTCTGACATTTTACTGATTCAAGTTTGTGACTAGTACGAATTTCCCATTATATAGTTCTTGCTTGTAACAGTATAAAATGTTCACAAATTTTAAGTTGTATGATAGGGGTTTTAAAATCAAATGCTTATTATTATTATTTTTCGTGTTCTATAATTTAATGTCTGTGCAAATATCATGAGTAATAGAAAGAAAAATATTTTTCTGCCAGCAACAGATCTTTGTTACGAAATCTACAATTGCCAACAAAAAATATCATTCTGAAATCTTTTCATTTAATGCTAGTTTTTAAGATTAAGTGCTAATGTTCTTTCATCTTAAAGTAAATTAAAAACTTAAAAAAACATTTTTTGAGATAGATTAGTAACAGGAAAACAATTCTATTTATTGATTAATAATTTTTCGTATTAACACATTTAGTAATTGAGAAAATTCTGTAGATTCTCTCATAACGTATTTACATTAGTTGTAGTGATCCGTGTCTTTGTTTCCTATTAATGTTTCTCATGTACTGATCAGTTATTTAGCACGGATGTTTTTGGAAATTTTTCATTCTCCATCTACCTCATGCATGGAGAATTTTCCATGACAACTTGACGAATGTTTTTCTTTATGTCATTGGTAATATATGCAAATAGTATCATATTATTGTATTTTCCCCCCTAGTTAGTAGATAGAAGCAATCATAACTATTTATTAAAACAATATATAATAAAGGAATATTTAATAGTACATTATAGTACTGTATATAGTAAGTAAAGCATAATTAAAGCACAGTATTGTAAGATGACAGTAATGCAGTTTTACTGTGCTTTGGACAATGCATGCAAGGCTCTCTGTGGTAAAAGTATATTTAAGGGTAGCCCTTGGTGAAACTTGGAGATTTTTGGTGGCACATGGATACCGAGTTTGTGCAATTCTTTGACTTGTTATTTTGGCTTTGTGTAGCTGTGATTATTGATGCAAGCCAAAATAACAAGTCAAAGAATTGCACAAAAGAAACACTTTAGAAAAATCCCAGAATCGCACAAAAATGGCATTGTGCACACTCCCTTTGTGCACATCGACTTATTTTCACTTTAAAAAAAAATCAGAGAATTGCACAAACTAGGCTTTGCCCACTCCCTTGAGCTTGCCCATGTACACATCGACATATTTTCACTTAAAAAGTCAAAGGAGCACCCAAGGCAAACAAAAAATATATAATCTCAATAAATTACATTTTAAACAAAACAATAAAATGACATAAGAAAGGAAAAACCTATTATGCATTTAAGCACTACACAAAGCAAATATTCACTTACCTTATTTAGAAATTCCTTCTTCTTTAGTATGTGGCACACAAAATTTCTTAATAACATCCAAAAACTTCCTAAAATTATCTGAACTAGAGTCCATATAGTGGCGGCATAACATAAATTCACAAAAATAAGAGTAAAAAATATCCTGCAGAGTTTTGGACTGTCCAGAAAATGGCTACTAAGTAAACCTTCATTTAGACACCGGTCAATTCCCCTTTAGTTCCAAATCGTACAGAAACTAATTAATCTTACTACACTCAGCCATTCTACCATCTAAACAATGAAACAAGCAATGTACTTCCTAACCAACACCACCACAAAAGCCCTTACAAAACATCCCATGATTGAAAATTTCCCGGAATAATGCAAATGATTACATCCTAATAGTGTTACCATAACTTTTAACTACTCAGGTTACCATAAATGAAGGTGATAAACAAATCAACAACATGGCGATAAAGGAAACAACTTCGCGATAATAGAAGGTGTACTCTAAAGTCAAATCTAACCCTCTCTGCCTAATAAAGAAAGCTGTCTTGTAATTACATACCACTGCTGTATGTTTTTGCAACTAATGTATTTTGCCACTAAGGAGTGAACTCTTTAAGCTGGTGTTACACGTGAAAATATTTAGAAAGGACAACTCTTCTGCAACCTTTTTCACTTTTGTCACTGATAAAAAACAGCCAATCAGTATGGCTGATTAAATAAATATACTATGTAATATGTAAAATATGTAAATATATATTATGTAATATGTAAAAAATATGTAAAATAAATATACTATGTAAAGAGAAACAGACATTCCATAATAACCACTAAGATAGAGTTCTGGTTCAGATAACTGATTAGTTGGAATATGAGCAGTCTGAAACTATTTCTGGAAGGGAGAAAATATTGCTCATCCTTCTTTTGGTGATACATCTAGTAGAAAACTGTTCGAAACTGGTTGATTGTCTGAAACAGAGGGATGTGTGATAGCACTTTTTGAGACTACAAGATTACTGATTTGATTTTTACTTACCAAGTCCTAGATTAGTTCGATTTTTTTGTTTGAATTTATAAAAGACTTATACATCAAGATTTTTTAAAAAGTTTTTAATGTAATGTAAATACTCCTTAGAAATTTGCTACAATAAGGTTCCGTAACCTGTATTTTCTTAAATCAATATTTTGTAGTGATAATTTAACGAAACATTTTGAAATTCAATGAAGTAAATAGTGTGTAGTGGCAGTACATTGCTAGGGTGGCAATAAAGGAATGATCAGTGGAACTACTTCACCATTTGGGGCTAGGAATGACTATTACAGCAACCCTGCGTGACTTCAACATTTCTCCCATCTTACCAAATTGACTGTGTGCTTTAAGAACTGACTGTAGTATATAACGACACTGGCTAATCTATCCTGATAGTGTTTATTTCTTTCAAATCTTTTTGATAATGCATTTTTAATTTTTCTTGTTATTAAATTGTCAAGTTTTTGACTTATGCCTGGTATCAGTTGATGAATTTGACAAAATTATTAATTTAATTGATCTTAACATTTGTACATATTCTAAACGAGCATCTCAAAGCTTAAACGTAAGCCAAATTAATATACTTTTGCCACAGCTTTATTATCTTGAACTTCTGATCACAAATTATTTGTTCAATTTTGTGCTCGGTGCTGCACTAAATGCTAAACCTTTTGCCATACTGGCTCTGTTGCTTGCCCTGACCTTTTATCATTTCATATTTGTTCTCAATGCTCATATTAATAAAGAAATGAGCAGTTTCTTCTACACATTCTAAGTACAAGCAGTTCTTTAGACTAACAGAAATCTTTTAACTAAATCTGAAAATTCTGAAATGAAGAGGAAGCTCATTGAAGAAGAAATTGATTTTATAAAAGAGGGAAAATTATTCTTCAAAGGCATATTGTTGAAACATTAACAAATTAGGATAAAGAGAAGGAAGCTGATGTAAATTCGCTAAAATATCTGGGAAATTTTGAAATTAAGGACTCGTAATCTTTTGTTATTTGCTGTTGCTACAAAACATAAATGTTTTGTAGCTTTTAATATATTATTATGCTAATATCATTTTAAAATTAGTATAAATAAATTGTAACAGCTGTAAAATGTTCTTAGTGGTTTTTTAATGGGTATTTTTTATAAATAAAAAAATATTCATAATTGAAATCATGTAAATCAATTACAACTAAGGATATCCAGCTGTACAATTTAATTATTTGTAAGTAACTGCTCACCCTTAGGAGTTATCTCTACATGCTAAAGCGAGTTATCACCTTTCCTTAATCCTTATTGTGGATGCAAGATGCAATGCAAAAATGTAACAATTATCACAAAACATTTCCTTACAGCTAAAGAGACTTAAAATAATACAAAATGACCTATCACCTCTAGTGCTTCAGTGGCTTATTGGAATTTTACATTAAATTCTATATATTAAATGGGTTATAACTCGGCAAATCTTATAAAAATACGGCACTAACTGGGTCAGACAAAATGCAGCTAACTTTCAACATTTACTGACTGTATCAATGTCTGGCATTCACATCTGTTCTGATCAGTAGTTCTTTCTCTCTAAGCAGGCTGCCATAGTGGCAACAGCCAAGCTTCTGTTATGGGTCATGCTGATTATTACTTTATTTCTCAATTCAACTTGTGCCAGATGTAAAATCTGTATACACTTTTGGAGTGAGTGAATTATGGAGGAAAGAATAAAAAGAGGTGCACTACGACTGAAGCAATGCTAAGCATTGGTCTCCAGAGGAGGTGTGTTTTGTTTACATTCAGAGCATCCTTGACAGTGCTTTGATAGTATTTCCACACACGAATCAAAAAGCAGGGACACTTTTGCATAGGAGAAACATTCATTGCTGGATGGATAATAGCATTTTGCATAAGAGAAACATTCATTGCTGGATGGATTGTAGCATTTTGCATAGTTTAGTGGCATATATGCAAAAATCACATAGAGTATAAATTTGTTTTAGAAAATTCTGAGCTACTGGACGACAAAAATATAGATTTTAATAAAAACTCTTATGCATAAAGAATGAAAAATACCTTAAGGTACCTTTAAAATGTCAAAATATCGCAAAAATGTAACTCACTTTAAACCTCAATCTCCTTATAACTAAGTGGTGTAAACGTGAAAATTTGTATACTTCTTTCAGAGAGTATAGAAACTAGAGTATTCGCTACTTTTATTTTATGTTCCAAATATCAAAATGTTTTAAATAAAGTACATTTTTTTTCATCCACATATTACTGTAACATGTACTTTTTTAAAATTTTTGGGAGAGAGGTTTAATAGTTGCCCATTTTAAACTCTTCATTTTATTTTTATGTAATTGAAAAATAGTCACTGTGGGTTTACGTATCTCAAGTGAAAAATGAAATTATAATGAAATCCTAAGCATTGTGTCATATCGTATCAATGTTGCATGCATTTAATTTGGAAAATGAAAAGATAATTTCACGATTTGTTTCATAACAATAACAGAAATAAAAATATTATTTAATTAATTATTTTAGATAATTAATTTTGTGATTTGCATAGTAATCATAAGTTCTTTTAAATTTTTTGTAATCTCGAGTGTGACATGTGGAATCTCGAGTCGAGCTAGTTATGTTCATCGACATCATCATGTCTTTGTGATAAGAAAAAGAAAACTGATCAAATGTAAAAGTGTCCTTTTTTCGCCTGCGCTTAAATTAAGCTAAGCAGGAGCTTAGCTATTAGCAAGATTATTAAGCTTCCTTGAAATTAAGCTAAGCAAGAGGCTGATAATGACTATTTTTTCTGTCCTTGAGCTGAATGCTAGACCATTAGATAATATCTGGTTCTTTTCTGACCAATTTTTCGATAGTGTAACAAATATTTTCTTCCATTTTTATTACCACAGTACTTTAATCAGCATTTTTCTAACATTTTCAAGTAAGGACTACAGGTGGCTTTCAATTTCTGCATAGTACAGTCAAAAGTCGTTAATTCGGACACCCATAATCCGGAATGATCTATAATCCGGACCTCAAAGCTAAAAACTTTCTGCGCATGCGCCGCATTGACACATGCGCATAGGCGTTTATGCGTGCGCGTAAGACCTCTTACGACTGCGCATTTGCGTGTGCGCAAGCGCAGAATACGTTTTCGCGTGCGCGTTTTATGTATAACGGACGGTGTAATCTAAAATTATCTAATTATCTATTTCAGTTAATGTTGATGATTGCGTAGTTCCTTAATCTTCGAATTGGATCCGGCTTATTATTTTTTGCAGACTGTAAGAGCAATTTTATAAAAGTAAACTTGAACTTTCGATTATGTCAAAAAGAATTTCCGAATCCAGAGCTCCCAAAGGATCGTATAAAACGAAAGTATGTTTCGATGTCCATCAAACAAAAAGTGGAATTGCTACAAAAAATGGATAAAGACATGAAGAATGTGACAGAGAGGTTAGTGAAAACGAAAAAATTTTGATTGACAAGTTAGTTGGTATTCTCGGCACAGCAATTAACGGGACTTGAACAGCGGAACTTTGTAACTGAACAAAAAATTATGTCTGTTTATAGAATTAAAGAGAAAGTATTATCACATAAAACAAAGCAACTTAAACAACTTACATTGAAAGAAATGTTTAATAAAGTAAACAAATAAATATTAATTTTTTTTGTAAATTTTGATACCCTTTAGATCATAATTGTTCTTTAATTCATAAATTACGGTTTCATATTTTTAATTTTAGAATTTCTGCATGCCATCTTACGCGATTTAAACTGATGATCTATAATCCGGAAAAATCGATAATCCGGAATTGCCAAAGTCTGGATTAACGACTTTTGACTGTATAGGTTCCTTAAAAATGAATATTCAAAAGTAGAATGTAAAAAAATGAAAAATAACTATTTATTTATCAGTAATAATATATATTTAGCAATGTATATAATTAAGTTAACAAGCATCATTTAAGCTTTTTTTCAGCTGTTTTCTTTATAGTTCAGTTGAAAACCGGCCTTTTTTGTTCGTTTCTTTATAAAGAAAGAGCTCTGTAACATGTTGTCTCTTTTTCAATCATCCTACATACATGAGATATACATTCCCCATCGAGATCACATTCTTTCATGATAGTCTAAATTTATCATAGGAATGAAAGCTTCATTCATAAATTTGATTGCCAAAATTTTGACGATTTTATCAGCGTCTGCTTGACAATTTTGATTGCATATTTCCTTTAACTCTGATTGCTGAATTAAGTAGTCATTTGATAGAGGTACTGAGTGGGCTTTAAATAACTTGTTTTCATTGTTGTTGTTTAGAATCTTTTTGTTGACATCCAAGTTAAGTACATTCATTAGGCTAACTAGTATTTCATCTCTAACAATTTCTGAAGTTTCTTCAGAATTTGTGGATTCCTCATTTGTAGCGTATTATTTCCAAGAACCTTTGATTATTAATTCTTTTGTTTCAGCCCACAAGTCTGCAACATTTTTTAATGCATTCTATATATTATAGTTCTTAAAAAAATCTCTTAATGTAGGCCCACCTTCCCGGCCATTCATTATTATCATCATATAATGTTTAAATGCAGCTGTCCCTATTTGATCCATTGGCTGTAGGAAGCAGGCAGTATTGGGTGGAAGAAACACAACATTGATTTTCAGATATAAATTCTGCATAGATTTTGGGTATTCTGGATCATTATTTTGATAGTGATTATCAGATCTTTTCACTCCATCCATCACTATGCCCTGTCATAGTTGCCAAGTCTTCCGGTTTTTCGAAAACCTGCCAGTTTCCCATCACCAGATCTCCCAGTTTTTAATTTTTAGCCTATACTAATGAAAGTGTTTTTTAGCAATACAATTTGCACAGTTTCAAATTTCATTATTGAATTAATGAAGCTTAAATTTCCCAAATTTCGTTGCATCTTTAGCAAAATTCAGCATAATTTTTCTTATTAAATTTTATTTTTGATGTGAATTTTCGTAATCTACTACAATCATTTACAGAATTTTATATAAGATTCAACCAATATCTAATCAGTAAATATTTGTATTTAATTTTGTTTACATTAGCATAGAATCATTAGGCCCATTTTGGAGCAAGAATCATGAAAATATGCAATGTCTACTTTGATTGGAAATTAAGACCTTATTGCTAGCTGATGTGCTTTCTTTTACACCATGAAGTTTACAGGGGCTTTGGACTTAGTTGCCAAATCCTGGTAGTTATGAATAATCATGCACCAGATTTTAGTTGGTGCCACTATGAAGAATTTTATTTTTTAGAGGCAGGAGAGGTAAAAATTATACAGGGCCCTTGTTGGGATTCAAAGGTCAGATCTCCCGATTGCTAATCAAATGTGCTTCCAATTACACTACGAATTCCAATTGCACATGCATCTTACAAATATGTAGTACATCACTAAGTTTTATCCGACCAATAATATACACACTGATTATTAATTTTAAAGGACTTTGATTAATCCTTGCCTATTCAACATAAAAATGTAAGAAAATTACAAAATGAAATTAACGAAAGAACATAAAATTTAGAATATATAACTAAATATTAATATATTTTATGTCAGAATAATTTTAAATAGTTGAAAATTGAATCAAACTTTTAAAGTGAATTTAAATCAATTTTAAGTTATTTTAAGCCCTGTGTGGCAGAAAAACCTTCTGGAAACTCCTAGTTTTTCATATTTAACTGCTTACATTATAAACACTGCAAATTAAACTGCTTACATCAAAAGCAGTATTTAATAAAGTAAACAAGTAATTATTGAGCTTTTTGTTTAGTAAATTTCAATTCCCTTAAGGTCATGAATACTTCTTTATTTCATAAATCACTGTTTCAATTTTTAATTTTATAATTTCTACATGTCATCTTACTAGATTTGAGCTGATGATCTAATATCTTTAATCACCAATGTCTCGATGAGTCAGATCTCTGACTTTGTACTATAATAGTGAATGATAAAAAAATTAAAGGAATGTGATAACTAAAAGAACAAGGAACAAGAGATCTGAAGTCTGCTGTCTAACTGTTAGAGGATAAATATATGGAATAAGCTACCGTTGGCAAAATTTAGTTATATACTGTTATATTTTAAATGTCACGTAAGGTATGAGTTATAGTAAGTTAAAAAAAAATTTTTTTAAAGTTTTAATGAATGTTTTCTGTAATTTTTAATAAATTTAATATTAATATGTAGTTTTATGCTTAGTTTCAAATAATATTTCAGATAGTGATTATATCATATAGCATCCAAAAATGGTGTTATGTGAAATTATCATTATGTTGAATCATGTATGAGCTGTCAAAGATTGCTAGGATGTGAGTTATTGTAAATCAATCACTAAATTTTTTTTAACATATACATTAAGCATTTTCAGGTAATATATATGTTTTCAGTAACTTATTTTAGAGTTTTACATGTTTTGAGTAACTTATTTTCAAGTTTTTTTTGGAATATTTTCCTTTTTTGATAAAGGGATGAATGTCTATTCCTAATTAAAATATTTATATTTATTGCAAACTTTACAAAGAATTTATTTTGTCATATTGTGATTATTAAATCTCCCATATTCTATTTGTTAATATTATAAATTTAAATACTTTTTAAAATTTATCCTGTATTTATAAATAGAAATATAATTTTGTCTTTAATTTATATTTTAGCTTCTCAACTACTTTTTGCCAATAGAAGGGACATTCGTCTCATTGATTTAGAGTCACGTCGGAAAAATTCTTCACATATTCTCATAAATAATCTTGAAGATGCAACTGCTCTTGATTTTTACTACACTGATGAAACCATTTTCTGGGCTGACGTTGGAATGGAAGAAATTAAAAGTATGCCTATCAACAATTCTAAGGCTGTTAAGAATATCATATATACTGGCTTAATGTCTCCTGATGGTTTAGCATGTGATTGGTTGGGGAAGAAATTGTACTGGACTGATACGGAAACGAATCGAATTGAAGTTAGCAATTTTGATGGCAGCCATAGAAAAGTTCTGTTTTGGCGAGATTTGGATCAGCCAAGATCACTTGTTCTTGCTCCCATGGATGGGTAAGAAAGATTTTATACCATCTATCAAAAAATTATTATTTTATTTATTACTTAAAACATTGCTTTAAAAAATCTATTGAAGATAAGTTTTGTGTAAATTAAAAAAATGATCATCTTTGTTGTACATTCTATGATAAAGTTGTGCTGGTAGAATATAATTATCTTTTACTGATATTAAATTTGATTTCGATTTTATTTTCTGTGTAATAAAAGTTTTTTTAACAGAACATTTAAACAAGTGAAACTGATATTTTTATAAATGCATTTATCAGTAAACAATCTTTAATCAAATGAGGGAGGTAATGAAATTTAATGCTAGCTGCAATTTCATGAAATTCAGTCTAACTTGTTACTTTTAACAAATTCAGCAGAAAGTGTTGAGATGTTGAAGTGCTTCATTTTTCATATAAAGTGTATTTGGTGTGTTCCAGTGTAACATATTTGGTATTATTTCTTTTGAGTATATCTTAAAGAACGACTGGATAAACACAAATTGAAAATCCTGAAAGATTTTGCAAAATAAAAATGCGTGGATGTCAGGAAAATACCCATACCATGTAACTGAACTTTTTTTCCCACTTCTGGGTGAAGCATTTGCTTAAAACTTATAATGTTGATATTGGTCTTTTGAAAAATTATATATACAGTTATCTATTTAATAATGTGCAATATGATTTTGAATTTGAATGCATATACTGTTATGAATAAACCATTATATTTTTGTAAATGTTTGAATTCTTTTTGATTATATTTATGTTTTTTGTATTGTTGTAGTATTTTGTATTGTTTTATTTATTTATTTATTTATTTTTTGTTTTTAGGATGGTAATTTTATGGTTTATTTTATGACCACATGTCTACTATTTAATATAGAATTGTTTTTTATTCATTTAATAATAAAATGAAAAAATCTTCAGTGAATGATTCTGAGTGCATCGTTTTTGGAAATGTAAAAATATCTCAACTGGAAGGCAAGATATGGGAAATTTCCTTCCTAAGGTGCTTGACGACTTTCTGGAAGATTTCAAAATATTCATTTTCGAAGCCCTAAAACCAATTCTTACAGAAAATTGCAAAGTGTAAACATGGGTTGGTGAGTTAGGGAGATCAGTTGTGAGATTTAGTGGTTAGCAGAATTTATAATTAAGATTTACTTTGAAAGTGATTTGAAAAAGTTTGATTCATTTGGTGTGTTAAGGAGGAATTGCTAAATATTTTTTTTTCTCCTTGAGTTATTTCCAGCTGTTAAAATGCGGTGTGTACTATTTATTATTTTCTTAATAAATTGTTCATTTCTTCCTCCTTATCCGGACTTATTATTTAAAGAAAATCAGCATAGCTCGCGACAACTAGTGTCAGAATTTGGGAGTTCTTTGAATGCAGGTAACCAGGAAGTGGAAGAGCAGCTGAAAGCTATAATGGAAATGACTGCAGCCAGCCAGAAAGAGGCAGCCCCAAATACCACCAAGATGATTAACTCCATTGACGAAAATGCTGCTTAAATGAGGAAGGAAGCTGTAGAAATAAAAAATTACGTAGCCCACCCTCACAAAAATGAAGGAGAATTTTGCCATTGTTAAAGGGAAAATGCTCAGGGCTATTATTAGCTAAGGAATAGAAGAGAAACTTAAAAGAAAAGTAAAAGATGGTAAAGTCAGAAACCCTAGGGATTGTAAACAAAGAAGTTAAAAATGCAAAATTACCATCTCAGCCTGCTTTGAACATCCCAGCTAATTTTGCTTTGAATAACATTCCACTCCTGCAGTATTTTGTCCTGCAATTCAGCTCTTGCTGTATGATGGGAAGTTATATGGAACATGTATAAAACACATTGTCACATTATTTTTCTATCAAATCATGGAAAACCTTTCAGGAAAGTGGTAAATCTGCGAGCCTGTTTCTCAGGAGAGGCAGCAGACATTTTTCAGATATTTCCACCTGGAAAACTTTCAAATACGATGCCTTAATTGGTGCACTAGAATTACAGTTTTGAGAAGTGATTCTCAATGATTATGATGCATTGCAGTTTCAGACTCAAAAAGCAGAAAAGACCCTTCAAGAACTGACAATTGATATCAAAACTTAACACAGCTTGTATTTTTGAATTGTAGCTATGAGCAAAAGACATACTTAGTTTTCAGTATTTTGTGGATGCTGTCAGGGTTTCTAAAATAAAGCAAGCACTCCAGATAACACAGAAAGATCTGAAGAGCGATTTTTATGTATGTGACAAAAGTGCAGATCACTCAGATGGTCAGTAGAAAAGACATTCGTCCTGTAAGAGTTGTTAAAGTATAAAGGATACAATCCTGAAAGTACTGGTGAAAGTGATGAAAAGATTGGAGACGATATGGACATTAAGACAAAGTGAAATAATGATAAAAAGAAAGTAAAATGTTAGAACTGCAATGGAGAATTAATGTAAAATGTTAGAACTGCAATGCATCTACTGGTGTCTCCAGTTCAAAAGGTGAAAAAGTAACGAGGAAACTATGTTCTTCGATATCCTCTGTTCATGGCAGACAGAGATCAAAGACTGCATGGAAGGAAAAATCAACAGTTTTCTATTCCGCATGATAGTAGATACTGGAGCGAATGGGCACATTCTGCAAACTATATAGTTCGGCAGTTGGACAGTCACTTGCTGTATATGTAATATTGAATTAATTAATTGAAATTCATTGAAATCAAAATAAATTTCCTAATACATGTACAATAGCTGCAAAGTAAGATAATTTATTTACTAAAGTAATATTGATTATATTATCTCTTAATATAAAGTTAGTAGAATGTATCTCAATGAAGTAACCCAGAAGTATGAAATTTAATCCCGAAAATAATATTTTTAAAAATCTTGAAAAATAGAACCAAGTAACCAAGTGATTATCATCATTGATCGAAAATTGGTTGACTTTTCAAGAGGAACAAACCAACCCCCGTTCAATTAACAATAATTAATAAATGTGAAGGTGTTTCGTCTTTTACTCATGTAAGAATGATGATACCAAACTGGCAATTTTAGTTAAAGCCAAAATTGTAGTTGAGTTTTAAAAATCTTGAGGTATTATAACCAAATTAAGTAGAGTACCATAAAGAATTCATTTTGAATGTAGCAGTTCCATTAAGTTAATGGATTTTTTAGAAATCTTGAGATTATAGCCAAATTAAGTAGTAAAAATTTTTTTATCATATATTTGAGTAAAGTTCTCCCCACACCCTCTCTTTTATGCATGTTAATTCAAAGCTATTTGTATAAATATAATAAACTGAAGTGAATCTTTGCTATATTTATGAAATAGAACTCAAAGTAATTGTAATAAACATGAAAAACATAATAAACAGTGCAGTCTTTGCTAAATTAATGAAATATAATTTGAAAAATTGAAACATGTATAAAATAAGGTACAAGGACATGTACAATCTTAAATGTACATAATTATAAAAAAAGGCCAGCATAGGAATTAATTAACTTACATTCTTTCTAGTGGGATGATGGTGAAGTGTTTATGTCTGTTATACATATTTCAATTTTATACTTATAAATGTCCACATTTATTAACATAGTGTGTTTATCCACAGAATATTATGTACTACATTATGTGTGTAGCTTTCCTTCATTGCTCAGTATGTTGGCAGCTATGCTGTAGTAGGAAGGAAGTAATTATTAAAATATTTGCCTTCTGATAAATAGACATAATAACTTTATTGTATTGTTAACAAAATGATGTGTATCATAATTAATTTTGCTGATGAAATTGTGAGTCATTTTCCATTTGCCAAGGAGAAGCACATTTTTTGATAACATTTGTGTGTGCTAAAACATCATAATGGCAGTTAAAAGTTTATCTGAAACAACATTAGGTACTTTTCTGTTAAAGCCATACCCTGCATTTTTGATGCCATATGTGTGCATTTGTGTGGCCTTTGGTTCAATGCTAGAATGCCTTTGCCTATTTCAATGCCCATGCCTTTGGTTCAGTGCTAGAACGAAGTGGAACAAGCAACATTCAATCAAAATTGTAAAAAACAACCTTATATTTAGCGTAGGTATAATGAAACACTCAATCGATTTCGAGGGCAGCTAAAGGTCCCTCCTCATCAGGAGAAAGAAATACATAGAAAGAAGAAAATAGGAATCACAGAAACACGTGGTGCTTATCAGCACTGCACGTAGTTATAACTAGATTTTTAATCAGAGTTGCACTGGCCGCCTACTTTTACTGAGCCAGGCTGTCTGATCAAGCATAAAGAAATATTAGCGAAGTTAAAATAGGGAGCGAGGGGCAAATGCACATTACGCTCAAAATCTGAACTTCAAATAATGGAAAGCAACCACTGAATGGATTTTTATACCCTCTGGTAGTACCAAGTGCGAGGAGGTAACACCATCTATCGGCAAAAAAATAATTGAATTAAGACAGTAGAATTTTAAAGGCATTAGGAAGGACTGGATTGGACTTCAAATCATTAACTAAACTTTCTAAATCTTTGTGAATGTGAAAAGCCTCAAGAAAATCCAATTCGCCTATGGAAGAAGCCTTTTGGATGATTTTTGCAGACTCAAAATCAAAATTATGGTTAAAAGTCCAGCTATGATACGCTATTGAAGACTTGTTAATTTCCCCTTTTTTGACATAAGATTCATGTTCCTTGATACGAAACTTCAACGCTCTTTTTGTTTGGCCAATATATCTTAAACAACACTGACATGATATACTATAAATTCCCCAAGAATTCAAGACAGAAACGCAATCTTTTAGAATCGAAGGGTGAATTTTATTAATAGGGGAGAAACCGACTTGAAAATTGAATTTCTGGAGAATCCGTGCAATTTTATAGCTAACAGAAGGATAAAATGGAAGCATGACAAGGTCATTGATATTATTTCTAACAGTGGAATGTCTTCTTTGATGGGAATCTGAAAATTTTTTTTGACGGCTTTATCAATAATCACGGGGAGAAAATCCACGGTCAATCGCAACTGCTCTCAAATAATTAAG